CTCTTTCTCACTCAGTATGTTATGTGTTGGACACTTCCCTCTCCAAGGCTCACTAATTGCACTGTGTGCTGATTTACATGTGTTTGCTCAGTGGGGGTGATTAAATGAATTATGGGTCAGGATGACAGCCACACTCCTTCTGGCAGATTTTTTACCCTGAGTCAGCAGAATGACAGAAAGCAGTGTGTGTTTACAGCCTCTGTTGCAGCTACAGCATATGCTATGTAACCTATTGGGTTTTGTTGGATAAGGAGAGCAATGCATCAGCTTTAATCAAAGTTACTAACCCATAATCCTTCATCAGACAACGCTTTAATTCTTTATTGATCCCTACTTCAACTTTGAGTGGAAAAACAAGACTTTTTTTTTCAGAAACCATTTGCTAAAACTGAAGCCCCGAAAATGAGCCATAAATACAAGAGGGTATACATTGGTCAGTGATACTTGACGGGTTCCCAGCTTGTTTTGTGACCACTCTGCTGAGGTACCCAGCACAATTACCCCGGATTAGGATATAGAAACCCTGCACTCCAAAAAAGTGACATTTCATGCAATGTACAAGACTGCCATTATAAAATAGTGAGATAAAGAATCTTTACACTCGGGGTGCTAGTGACGCAGTGGTTAGTGTGCATGCGCCCCATGTATGAAGGCTGTAGTCTTCCAAGCGGGTGGCCAAGGTTCGAGGTCCTGTGGCTCCTTTCCTGCATGTCATTCCCCACTCTCCGTCTCCCTGATTTACGAATCTATCCACTGTCCTATCCCTCCATTAAAAGGCACAAAAAGCCCAAAAATAAATATCTTAAAAAAAAAAAAAGAAAAAAAAAAAGAATCTTAACACTCAAGGCAAATTCTTATTTGAAAATGTTTCTCTGTAGACGATCAAAAAAGGTCCAGATGTGCTGTTGTGTACTGTGCTGTGTGAGATTTGAAGCCATGTGGTGAATGGGACAAAATATCAACAAGGCAGTATAATGTTCTCCCGACTAGTGTGACGTAATTATGGAATAAGGCTGATGCCAAAGATCCATATTTTAAAAGTAAAAAAATATACAAACAGATTAGGCAATTTGAATTACAACATCATCACTTCATGCTTTTACACAATTGAAGTTCCTAACGAATACTTAAAGTTATTTGAAGGTGAAGTTTGAAGTAACTTCTCACATTGCAGCTTTTGACATGAATGATGGTAACATGAGTGAAAGTAAACTGCCCAAACAAGAAGTTGACAGTGGGGTAATATCAGACAGCTATGAAAAAGAGTTAAAGGATGATACTGCCTCAAATTATAGTGAATAAAAACATTAATCCTGCACTTGAGGTTTTGAGGGGCATTCCTTCAGTTAATCAGAAATCATGATTGTTGATCATTATATGATCGTCTTACTTGTTACATATCAGCTTTCACAAAACTGGTTTATCGTGATATTTTCTTTACTGTGGGCCATGCATCCCAAATTTTAACACGAGTTACACTTCAATTCCCATCCCTAGCTGTAATTCTGGAACAACTCTGTTTACATTTGAGAGTACTGTTTGCAGTGGAAACGCAAAACATCTCTCTAAACCTATAGGTTAATACTGCAGGTACAGGTATGGTATGGCTTTCCAGGGTACTATGCCAAAGTACTTGATGGCATGCAACTATTGTAGCTTCTTATATTATAGTTTGAACAACTTGTGGGTACATTAACTAATAAATGTTGAACCATGAATGAACTTGTGCCTGTAAAAAGGAAAAGAACATCTCCATTTGTGACTGCTCTGCTGCTGGTACTGATGAACAGCAGGTTCAAGTTATCGGGATCCTTCCGGTCGCTCTTGCTTTGTTTTTTCACAGCACTCATTTTCTGGAGCTTTGTGATTAGGCTTTTATAAGCCAGATGAGTAATTGTGAGTTAGGAACATCCTGGTCTTTGCCTTCAGGTATGAAAAATTGAAAACAAGTGTCTTAAATGGCTAAAGTGATAAACTCTCCCCACTGTGGCAGAAGGTCATTAAGGCATCAAACGGAAACATGTAAAGACCAAACTTTCCCAAACTGCCACAGAATATCATGGTCAGGAAAATATCATTATTGAAGGACACTGTCTCTTACAATTGTATTTCATGCAGATGATTTGCTTTTGTTCGAAGTACTGCTGCCAAAATTGTGTGAGAGTGTTATTTGGTTTGAAGACATGGACGTCTGTGACCTTTCCATGCATTTGCCTTGAAATTCCTTGGTGCTGATGTTGTGAGGAAAGAGAAGCTCACTCCACATACACAAGCGATTCCCAGCAAATTGCTTTAAGCCCTAATGTCAGTGGAGGTGAACCAGAGTTGGCCATTGGACAGTTGCCCAGTCTGTTCCATCCGATTAGACCTTCTGCGACTGCTTAAGCTTGCACGTGATTTGGAGATGCATACTTTAACAGGCGGCATTACGGATGAATGCGGTAAGAATATGAAGCTGCAAGCTGGAATCATTTGTCTTGATTGTGCCAACAACTTAAACAACTGATTCAAAGACAGGATAAGATGCAGATCGTCATTTTGATTGTGTTTGTTTTGGGCATTTTCTCCCCTTTGTTGTTGCTTCTTGTCAGACTTTAGAGCATTCTTTCACTCTGAGTTCACTCACTTGGCCGTGTTCATGCCACTTTCATGGCCCTTTTCATCACAGAGAAAGCATTAAAACTATTTCCTGTGTGGCAGCACGAACAAATGAGGAAGACGGCATTGTTGTTTTCCTCTCTTACATTTTTTTAAATTATAGAACCTATAATTTCCCCCAAAAAGTATTAGAATTTTGTGTAAGGACTCGGTTAGGACTTGTTTTGGCTCTCCATTCCTGCAGGGCAAAGTTGTTTTTGTAAATTAATCAAAAATGGAATGCTCAAGAACACAAATCATGAGGTGCTTTTGTGCAAGGCACTCGAGCCCCAGCAGTTATATGGACTGCAGGTACGCATCTGGCCTTAATGTTTGTGAGTCTAAGACTGTATTCTTAAAAGCAGCACTCATACTCTGGTTTCTAAAAATAAAAATTACCGTCAGTACTTTCTGTATTTTGATATGTCGATGTCAAAGATCATTACACAAGTTAAGAGCTGGTTTCTTGAGTGTTTTCTAAAGTGCTGTGGCAAAGACGGTTGTTGTGGTTGGATGAACCGTTCGCAAAAAGTGTCTGAAGAATACTAACAACAGCAATGGGAACTTCTCCCAGAAGAAGAGAGGTCATCTTTTCCATCTTTGAAAACTCTGGCTTGAGATCCATGTTCCGTTCAAAGCGGCCAGATACATTTCCATGTTCGTTTTCAAAAGTGTTTCAGATCGCAGAAAATGTTCCTGCGCTCCACCTTGAAGATTTAGAAGTGTGCCAAAATCTGGATCATTTGGAAAAAGACTCCTTGCCTCTTCGCACATGTTCTTATAGAAATTGATTGTGCCAGTGGAGTGCTTTTGAAATAAAATATAAGAAAGGAAAAAAAAAAGTATGATTATTCATGGCATGCGCTGTAAAGTTGTCTATTTTATCATTCTTAAATGTTTAAATATAAGAAAGCGCTTGAGACAGAAGACAGAAGTATGTTTGAGTGATCTCAGCAGGCCACTAAACCAAATGTTTCATTTTGCTCTGGCATCTAGACAAAGTGAAAGACCCCTGTCAAACAGTTCAATGTGTATCCTTTTTCAAAAGTCAGGGATCCTTTGAAATTGCACTCTCTTCAACAAGGCAAACCTTGTTTTTCAATCTGCTTGCATGTGCAGATCTGCAGTGTCTGCATATGTGTGTATGCATGTGTGTGTGTGTGCGTGTGTGTGTGTGTGTGTGTGTGTGTGTGTGTGCTTTTTGCAGCCCCCTCATCCGTCTCATTCCACAGCACAGCTGCAGTGGCTGAAGTCACACAATTTGTCTCAAAAAGGGGCTTAGCAGCTCATTAAGGGATAGAACAAAGTGAGCTAAGAAACCGCAGTAACTGACTACCAACACTGCTGGAGGTACAGAATACAGGGCATGTTGTCACTGTGCAGCAGTGGAGCTCTTCTTCTATGGTGCGATAAAATGTGGTTTCACTTAGACCAAAGCCATAAACTGTATAAAACATGGATGTCTCAGGGATATCAACCATTGGTTTCTAAATAGGAGTTATGAAGCCTTAAAATGCAGTCTCCATACCATCTTGCTTGACTTGATCTTTATCTATGCTTCCTATTCTATTCTAAATGATGATAACAAGTAGAAAAAAGTCAACTATTTAAGGTTAGCAACAGGATTTATTTGATTAATAGTGCCATGTTGTAAGCATGTTTATTTAAATGAATACAAACTGACATTTTGATATGGGCTCTAATGGGGAGTCCTCCGTCTCAAGGTCTAAATCACAAAGCATACAGCGCTTATGATATTGAGGCATAAACACTCCAAAAAAAGGTGTCCTGCTCCATGCAGTCTGCTCTTGTTTTGAATCTCAATGTGGAGAGTGTGGAGAGAGCTATCTCCGCACAGATCTTCTTACAATTATCAATAAAAACAGCCTTCAGTTCAAGCTTCTTAAATGTGAGAATGTTATGCTTTTCCTTGTCTCATCTAAACAAAGTCTTGCACAGTCCGGCTGTATTTTGGTTTATTATTTGGTTCAGAAAGGTCTGAATTTGCAACCTCATCATATCTACAGTAATCTGTCCTTATAAAAACATCTTATGGCAATAGTTCAAATCTCATTTGCCATTCCTTTTATGTTTTTCTTTTGTCATCAATCAGTATGTGCAGCTGTCCTCCTTCCATTTCTTCTTCTTTTAGTTAAATATTTCTCCTTTACTGAAATGTTTTTTTTGCACTGCAGTGCATAATATGACATTTTAATCAGGACATCCGTACATATCTGCCAATACTAATATTTTGCCTAAAGAGAAGACTTTGGGAAACAAAAATGCTTGAAGTTTTTTATTTGATACTAATTCAGCCTTTGGCCTTTTTAATCACTGAGCCTCTTTCTGTTGTTTCTTCACAGAGATTGGGCCGATAACAATCACAACAGACCCCAAGAAGTTCCAGTATGAGCTGAGAGAGCTCTATGTTCAGGTGAGTTCAGAGATCACATTAATCAAACCATGGAAACAGCAGCAGCAGCAGCCTGGATGCTTTAGCAGTCAGCATAAGGGCATCTGGCCTTGATAAAAGTAGACTGGTACCTACAGACATCTTGTTAGCTGATTCAGACCAAGCATGGTTGGTCTGTCATGGTTGGATGATGAAAAAACTTTTCAAACTATAATTTATTTTCTGTATTTTTACGATACAGTTGGGAATACTGTTCTCATTTTATTGGATAATCAACTTCCATAAGTAACCAGCACACTTCAAACTCCAGACATTGGACATATGTTGATCTTGCTTTATCAAAAGTAAAACTTCTTACTCATCCCATGTTTATTTTCCTTCCTGCTCCATTAAACACAAATGTATAAACAATAACATGCTATGGCTAGAAAGCTAAACACAGTCCTGCCAAGTTCAGATTTTTGTGTAATTGCTTGGAAAGAGAAAGGAAGTTGTGCAGAAATCCTGGTATGTAATTCTTGAGCAAAAACTGCTTCTTCTCCTCATGTCAAATGATGGCAAAGACACAGATAGAGACAAGGCATTCAGAGTTCTTTTAGAGAAAAAAGATTGTTGCATCTTTGACATGTGCCAATGTTAATCTGATGTGCAAGCTGGTGGTGTGTAGAAACAGAGAGATCCACTTTATTCTCACTCACTGCTTCATTCCTGAGTCTGTTTTTCCTCCGTCCACTGCTTCACCTGCAACAACCTCCTAAGAGGTTTTGGCATGAAAGAATGGAAGAGATGTTCTTTGGAATTTATATTTATATTTATTGAAATTCTTTTGACATGAGAGAAGATGTTTTTAATGGTCAGGATGTTAGGAACACTTCGTTTGTTTAAGCCTCAGTAATGAAAGTGCACAAAGGGGTTATCAGGCTCATTTTTTAGGGTCAATCTCATGCACGGGGGAGTATATTTTTTGGCCATAGGTTAGACTCTGGGGCTCATGAAAGACAGATGATTCCTGCCTGTTCACCTTCCGCACCCCCTGGCATAAAATCATGGGTCATTCCATTCCAGATGTTAATCAAGGGGCGATGCATCCTTGCATAATATTGAACCCTGCAGACAGCCAAAATGTTACTGTGGGAATGCTTAAGAGCAGGGGATCTCAACTGGTCTATCCTCAGGACCCACCACCAACTCCTTAATAAGAAATCGCGACCCACACTTCAGAGATTTGTTTTATGAAAAATGGTGCCGTTTGGACCTCAGACGGTAAAGCGCATACAGTATGACAGAACAAAGAGATGAAACAAAACAAACATGTTTTAAAAGGGATTTTTAGACTTTTTGACACTTTTTCCCTAATAACCACTTTTGGGTCCCGACCCACCAGTTGAGAACCAGTGCTCCAGAATACACTCCTCTTTGACCCCGCTCGAAGAAGACAGAGAGACAGAGATAATTGTGTAACACAAATAAGAACAGAATAAGACAGATTGAACATGTACAAATACTGCCATGTAACTCTGTTTGTTGCTCTTGGATCGGCTTTATCAACGCAAATCATTAAATATACATAGTTCATTAGATACCACTGATAAACCTCTTGAACACATAATGGCGGTGTGATTTATGCACTGCTGTTTGGAAAGGCTGTCATTATGGCCATAATGAAAGTGAGCAAATTGATTGACAAATTGAATAAATAAGCGATATATGATGTTTTTTATTTTTTTTTAACAATTATATGTATTGTTGGGAGCTTTCCAAAAATGCCTTCTAGTTTAAATTTCTAATTTCTCCATGTCTATCTGTTATGCATTACCTAAACTTAGTGGCAACTTGTTAGATACATGTCTAAAATCTATTTCTATTCAATTTTACTTTACACTGTCATTAAGACATTTATTTGATTATATGTTTTTACAAAGAGATGAAAATGGTGATTTTATGCTGATTTCACCACTTAAGACCTCAACAATAAATGATTGAATGCGCTCATTTCCAACGTCTGAAAAAATGGGAATATCAAGAGCTCTTCATAGAAAAGCATTAGACTTCAATGCTTGACCTAATGAACAACCATATGTTACACAAGACTGCATACTAAAACCAGTATAATAGTTGGAGAAATTAAAGAACTGTGTTGGAGGCTCATAATGCCACACAATTACTTATCAATAAATCTTTGAAACAGGAGCTTCTTGGTGTGCATATCTTGTTTGCTTTTCTTCACAATACCCCACAACAATACATATATTAACACTGTATGCTGATGATATCCTCCTGTTTGTCAGGGAGGTGGGGACTGTCCAGAGATGAGCATTGGTGCCATTAAGATTGCCTTGGAGATTTCCCTGCCGGGTTCCTTTATATATGTCTTCACAGACGCCCGATCCAAAGATTACAAGCTGACCAATGAAGTCCTGCAGCTCATTCAGCAGAAGCAGTCACAGGTTTGGACATTACTACAACATACAGCATACTGTGTACTGGCTTAAAGGTAAAGTGATCACAGTTGTATTTATCTATGTCTGTGTTTGTGTGTAGGTGGTGTTTGTGCTGACTGGGGACTGTGATGACCGGACTCATATTGGCTACAAGGTTTATGAGGAGATCGCTTCTACCAGCTCTGGGCAGGTCTTCCATCTAGACAAGAAACAGGTCAACGAGGTAAGAGAATCTGTAAATGGAAATTTGGATCTGGTCTTTAGAGCTGTTTGCTTTTTTTGGATGAAGTTTTAAAGTTTCATAGTTAAAAGAAAAACGTTCTGCTTTGAAAAAAACATCATTTGGTCATACAGTATTCAAAACCATTCAATCTTGGCCAAATTCTGCCTCTACACTGTGTAAATTAAATAACAGAAGAAGGTTTTACAGCCTCTCTTGTCTTTTGCTGTGCCCATGTATTCGTCTGGACTCCGGATTAGATTTACAGGAAACATTTAATTGATTGTGCATACCTAAACTCTTTTTAACCTTTCCAAGAAAAGTAAATCAGCAGAGCTGGACTAGAAGTTAAGTCAAAGCCTGAAGTTTGAATAGCATGCTGAGGCGGCTGTGTTTTAGTGGTACAGTAGGTCATCTCAACCTGAAAGTTGTGGGTAACAGTTATTTCTTGTAGAGCAGGGAATTCTAGATTTTGAAAAAAAAGAAAAAGCCTGAATAATTCTGGACCATAATTTTCTCTTTTTCATGCGTGTGATCTTGTTTCAGAGCTTACTTTGAAAGAATCTGTTCAAATTGACAAAGTCATTGATGTTGTGGCTTTAAGGAACAGACAGATGAAAGACAAATTATGAAATGTTACTTTTTTTGGCATGAATCTTGTGATTCCTAACTTTCTTCTAAACCCGCTTTACTCCGAGACATATTGAATCATATTTCTTTACATAGTAAATGCCTGCTTCTTTGATAAGACAGAGTAAAATTGCCCCATGGTCTGGGTCTCAAACAGTAGATGTTAAGTTGTTGTCTGTATAAAGGGGAAAGAAGGGGGCAGTACACTGGAACATGTAAGAAACTTCCAGGTTAAAGCTTTGAACATGTGGAGTGGTTGACCTTGTGAGCGGGGTTGAAAGCGTGTGTGTGTGCGTGCGTGTGTGTGTGTCCATATTTGTGTAATTTTTGTTTATAGTTTAATAAAGTTCCAAAATTATTGGATTTACATAACAAGATTATTTTAAATTAGAAATATATATATTTTAAAAAATACAGTATATGCAAAAAATCATGACCTGCATCCTTCAAATCTCCCTCCAATCGCTGTAGGTCCTGAAATGGGTGGAGGAGGCGGTGCAATCGTCCAAGGTCCACCTGCTGTCCACGGATCACTTCGCTGGGGTCAGCAACACCTGGCAGATGCCCTTTGACCCCAGCCTGAAAGAAGTCACCGTGGCGCTCAGTGGCCTGGCGCCTAACATCGAGATAAAAAACCCCCAGGGTATGAAAAGTGTTCGAACACAATAAACTGGATTGTCGACAGGATTCCAGGATTTTTTATTTTCTAATCTGATATGTTTTTAGCACATGTATGAACCAAAATGTGACAAAGAATCTATAAAAAAAGGAAAACATAGAAAGGAGAAACAACAGATGCACATGCATTTTTGATAAGTTTGATAAGGAGGAAATCATTTGAATCATATGTGGTGGTTGACAAAGACAACAAGCCTCAACCCATCTGAGCATCTTCGGAAGAATTTGAACTCTGTAAAGAAAAAAAAAAAAAGCCCTCACCCCTGCATCTTTAGAACCCCAAAAGAAGGAATAGGTTTTTGTTTTTTTAAAATGGATCCTCTATTCCTAAGATATAGTGTTGTGACAGGAGAAACTGCTCTGCTAGTATAGCTGCTTTTGCGTCATTTATGTTGATTTATTGATAAACAAACCAAACGTGTATTAATGATACTTATATCCTGAAATTTCTTTTTTAAAATGTTAATAACTATGATTGAATATCAGGGAGTTTTGAGTTTTGTCAATGTGTTTTTGACCATTTGTCACTGGAAAGAAAATTGAGAGTAAAGGGAGAAGATAATGGTTATTTCTTTGTAATGATAATAGTGAAAAGACACCTGCAGAGGAGCCTCTGTGTCTTTAGAGGTTATTAAAGCATTATCTTAAGACATGATGATAACATCAGGTACCTAAACAAAAAAAACTAAGAATTTTAACTCAAGACTCCGCAATAAATACAGAACAAGAGTAACCTGCATGCATCAACAATGTTAAGAGATCATTTATATTAGTCAAAGCTGCAGAAAAGTTGAGTAATTGTCTCTGTGTTCATGTTTGGCCTACAGGGAAAGTGGTGGGGAAGAGTGATGGCCTGACTGAGCTCCTACACATTCCCAACTCTGCCAAGGTTGTCAACATCAAGGATCCACAGCCTGGGATGTGGTCTATCAAGGTAAACAAGTCATACTTTAATTGGGAATGTGAGTAAAATTATAGGCTTCTCCACACAATTGTCAGAGCAGAGCTGTCTTTTTAAAAGACTTACGGCGTGTAGTTCAGTTGTACAACCTTGGAATTAGTTCACAACTAACACACCAGGAGGGAGTTGTGCCCTTGAGTATGGTCTTTAAGTTGAATTACTGCAGTAATATATTAGCATGTTGACTTAACAGTGATGTCTAATCAGTTTAACATGCATGGCGTCTGCTGGAAGCATCTTAATGGGAACAAAAGCATGATCAAAAAGACACATTTGAGCATTAAGATGATTTTTTCGACAGTCCTGGTAAATGAAGATGAATTATGTTCAAGGCCACTGCTGTCAACACAAAAAGTACAGTTTTGTTTTGGGGCACCCCTGTGCTGTTTTGTTCCCCTTGCAGGATGGAAACTGTTGGAACCCTGTTGTCGAGGTTATTCAAAAGAGGTCACACATTTTGACTGCGTGCACTGTCAATGCCAGATGCTGGGAAATGACAAGCATTTTTACCTGAGTGATTTGTTAAAGGGGCCTCTATGGCCTCTGTGTTCAGTGAAGGCTCCTGCTGGGACACTTTCCCTCTTCTCTACATAGCTGTGTTATGTGTTAGCGCCCGTTTGATTTCCAGGAGAAAGAGATTGGATGGAAAACTGTGTCATCTGTGTGTTTCCTTCCCCGAAATTGTACTTACAGATGGGGATACATGTATGCTGAGTTGTTTGCATATTTGCCTTAGGTTCTCTGAAGGATTTGATTTTCCATTAGTTGCTCTGGCGCTTCTTCATTCTTTTTATATTTTGCATTTGGCATTTTTGCATTTTTTGCATAACTTGCTCTTCCATGAAAGTTGGAGGGTTCAAGGTTCAAGGTTCAAGGTTGTCTTTATTATCCCTGCGAGAGGGCAATTTGCAGTCAGCAGTAAAACACACACATACATACAGCCCGAAATGAGCAAACAATATAGAAAGGACAGTAAATAAATACAATAGATAAGAAACAGAGGCAACACAGTGGTTTAAAAAGGTGATGGCAGCAGGAACAAATGAGTTTCTCAACCTCTTTGTCCTGCATGCTGGCAGGCTGAATCTGCGGCCTGACGGCAGCAACTTAAAACCCTTGGACAAAGGATGACTTTGATCTGCCAAGATTGACTGTGCTTTCTGAAGACACTTTGTTGCGGTTTTTGATGATTTGAGTAATCCGTCCCAGGTCACCATGCCGAATGTTAAAACTGATTCATGGTTGTGCCTTTTCTTCTTTCATTTTTACATGTTGAGTAGGGAAAATTATGCATACTGCTCTTGCTCAGGATCACCATTTATTAGGAAAATTACCCAACATTTCAATCCCTCTGTACCTTTTTCAAGTGTGCTCTCACTGGACCTTTGTCAGAGCACACTTGACAAAGGTCCTTAAGGCCAAAACATTGTGTCATTTACTAATAAATGGTGATACTGAGCAAGAGCACTGTCTCTTCACAAGGCTAGAGTTATACCTCCTGCTTCATGAGATAGTGATTAAAAATGTGTTTTTCATGTCTTCGAATGCCTTCTCAGTATGTATGATGAGATCCATAGATCATTGTATGAACAATTTATTTGGCCTCTTATTATTTTTCAGAGACCGATACAAAAAATAAATCAGGACTTGGACGTTACATTCAAGTTCTTCATTTTTGTTTTTTTGAATTGGTATTGACTTATTGTACAAGACGAAGGCCTCTCCAGCTGTGACTGCACTTAACCCACAGGTTAATCTCATGCTGTGGTCTGTCGCTAAACTCAAGTGTAAGGATCCTTTTCCCCAGTTTACACAAAAAAAAACTATTTATCAACATTTCTGTCCTTTAGATTGCTGGCTTTCTTTTGTTGTGTATAAGGGAAACAAAAAAAACACTGATGATGTGTTACTTTTGGCAGCTTTTGGTTAATTTATTGGGATCACTTTATGCACAAACTTTAGGATTACAAGCTGCCCAAAGATGAATAGATCTGCCCCACTTGTTTTTTCTGTTAACTGTTAACTTTTTTACATCTTAATCCACATACAACTAATATAGGGACCTCCACCATGGACAGTGCTCATTGAAGTGATGAAGGATTTAAAACAGATAAAAAACGGTATCCCCTCACCGTAATTCCATCCTGTTTGCCTTGTTTCCGCCCCTGTCTCATCTTTCTTCATTAATCTCTTTTCTTCACTTCACATATCTTCTTTTCTGTTACCTAATGCATTATTCTCTTGATATATTAACTAACATTATCTCTCCCAGAAAGAGCATATTCTGTTTTTCTGTTCTCTCTCCTGGTCCCAATACATCTTGTTTTTCCCATTTCTCTTCTTGGACATCAACTTTTCCAACCTCAGTCTCCCACACAGTACTTTATCAGACTAAAAATACCTCCCTATCATCTGTAGCTGTGTTTCCCAGGACAATCTGCAGAAATGTGGGGAAGTAGTTTAGCGGGGATTTCACTGTTCTTTCATGCTGGTTTTCAGAAATGGTAATGGCCTGTGAAACCCGGGTGTTAGGCCCAGGCAATAGACTGTGTGTGAAGAGGAATTTGATCCTTTTAAATCTTCCTTTAATTGGATTTGGCAGTGGAGTTTACAAGTTGGGTTCATCACACCATCACCCCAACTTCCAAAGTTTCACCCACAGTTTTAGATGTCATAAATTAGTGCAGTCTATTTCCATATACGATAGAATGCCACAAGACACAATAGAAAATACAGTACATGATTGTTGATTGATTTTATGTATTGCATAAACAATGTGCCCAATGAACAAAGAAACTACAATGATATGATACAATACTATACTATTATACAATGAGATACTGCACAGCACAAGATGACGCCACGCGATGTGATATAATACAAACAAAAACACTTTTGCCTGTAGGTACATTTGTTTAGGTCTCTAATAGAACTTAAAAATACAGACATTATTCCAACAAAAAATTCACCTTTGTACAATCTCTGTTTTAAGGGCAGAAATGTTTAGAGCCAAACCTTTGTCCCTTCATTATTCTACACAGTCAAAAGAGCTGATTCCTGGTGTGTGAGTGTGGGTGTGTCTGAGACCTTGTGCTGGTCAATCTGTGCAGCGGGGTGTTAAAATGGGAAATGAGAAGCTCTAATGACAGGGACCGCTCTTGTCTTTGGTAATAGCATGACCTTTAAAGGACCTCTCCCATTATTATGGGCCTCATTTGCAACCACACTAAAGACCCAGGATATTTCCATGGCTGCTGTTAGGGCAGGGCTTGATGACCAAGGCATGTATTGTTTTTTTTATGATGCATTAGCATTTAAGGTTGTGCCAGATCTCCTTTGTCATGCTGCTACCTCTTTGTTTTAGCTCTATTATTTGTCTACTGGCTCCTGTTTGGTTTGCTGTTCTGTTCACAGTGAATTGAAGTCAATATCAGGTACAACTCAGTAATTTTGGAAGGCAGTAAACCCACACGCTCTTTCATTTCAGGCAATTGCAAATGACAGTTTAGGTTTGCATGCCTCACTCTGCCTCATGAGTCAATGTCTGCAACACATCCAAGGTGTCTCACCTAAGGTGAGGAGTTTCCACTTCTCAACAACCTATATTTCATTCTAATTACTCCGTCTGTGCATCTGTCAAAGCTTCAAAAGACCTCCTGGAGGTGAAGACAAAATGAGCAATTAGCCACTTTTGGATTATAGTGGTTGTCTTTTTTTGATTAAAGTATGAATGTCAGACTGAATTGGTCATCTCTGGATTGTGGAGTGTAAGATATTCAGCCTTGACTTACTTCAAGTGGCTTGTCTTTACATGTAAGGGGTGGCTGACACACAAAGGGCTGTTACACAACAGTCCCGGTGCTGTGTCTGTCATTAGTCCACTTAGCACTGCCTTTGATGGGACCGCTCTTTGTTTCCTTGAGTTTATACAATCAGACACCATTGAGTGTCAACAGAGGAAATTGACAAAACAATTCAAATAATAAAGATGTGACTGTGAAAAGTGCTTGTTTCATGTTTCATATGAATAATTAATATTGCACAGTATTTCAAGACAAAGTCTTCACATGAAGATAAAAGAAGAAGCACACATGCGCTAACCATTACTTGTAGACAAACATCTGTAAATCTACGTGTCCCCTTTCTGTCATGCAGACCTCTAGTGAAGGAAGACACTCAGTTCGTATCTCAGGCCTCAGCACCATTGACTTCCGAGCCGGGTTTTCCAGAAAACCCACTCTGGACTTCAAAAAGACCTCCAGCCGACCAGTTCAAGGTCAGTGAGGGCAACCTTACCCGGTTGTAAAAACACCACAGCTGTTGTCTGTGTTTTCCTTTCACCTGTTGTGTTCACTTACATCTTTAGCTTTTGAGAAGAGAAGTATAAAATATATGGTGTGACAACTTTCCAGGCATTCCCACCCACATTCTGCTGAACACCACTGGGCTTAAACCTCCTGCTCGAGCTGACAGGCTAGACCTCATGTCAATCACAGGTGAAGTGATAAAAACTTTGCCAATTCGCTACTACCCTGATCGACAGCCTTACGGCCTCTGGAACATCACAGAGTTCATCCCACCCAATGAGGCCTTCTTCCTGAGGGTGACAGGATACGACCTGGATGGTTTCATGTTCCAGAGAGTCTCCAGTGTCTCCTTCTCCAGCATTAAACCTGGTCAGTGATGCTTTTTTTTTTTTAAATCAATATTTATCTGTACTGCTTGTTTTTTTGGATTGATTTAAATCTCAAGTGTTAACTTTTTTCTCTGTTTTCCTTTATCTGTCTTTCAGATGCCCCTAAGGTGCAGATGCCAGCCACAACTCATGGATACTACCTCCAAAGAGGGGCTGTCATTTGCCAGATAGAGAGCCTGATCCCTTTTACGTTGCGCTTCAGCAGGGATGGGGGGAGGCTTGGGGTGGACCAACTCTTCAGGTAAATAAGGCAGTGGAGAACATGTCTTTATTCAGGGACAACTTCAGTCAAATGTACAACAGCTTCTTTTTCATAAAGCGTTGATCCACAGAAGGAAAGCTCTTTCAGAACAGAGAAATGCCTTCTCTGTTACTGTTGCTAATTTAAACTCAAAAGCTACATTTTCACCCCAGGAAAGGACTTTAGGAAGTATTGTTTCCACTAGGGATGTGTACGTTAAGTGATGGTTAAACATCATTATCCTCACCACTCTGCACCAGAATTACTAGTCAGTTAAACAAACTATTAATATTTTTATATGTTAACACTCCGATGCTGGTCAAATGTTTGGCTGAAACTGCAACAGCACCCGCCACTAGCCGTGGCTGTAGACACTGAGTGGCTGCATCTCCACCTAATGGGCCTGCTAAACAAGCACAGTGAACGGATAGCATCTCGTAGGAGCAGCATGTCTGGCAGTATTGTACTTGCTCTCGTAAAATCGGTTAGTCAGAATTCAAAATTCAGTTTAACCAATTGGGAAATTAGTCTCCTAGAAATATCCCTAGTTTCGACTGCAGGAACCGGGTCTAAATAAATTCCCAGGGAAAATATTGAACCCCCCCCTAAAGGTCTCTGCAACAAACAACAGCAGTCTAATTGTCCTGATTTTTACAGACCTTTGGACCTTGGTGTAAGGAAAGACCATTGAGCTGGATAACCTTTCAATCCCTTAAAAAGTACCTCCATGGACTTAAAGTCAAAAGCACTTTGGTAAAAATGGGACTGAGGTCAGATATCAAGAGGACATGATGTAAAGTGTTTACCGCTCCCAAAATGTAGTAACTGCCAATATACATATATGTTTGGTATATTATTCACCAAAAAAGTCATTTAATCTGTTTTCCATCTCCAACCTGTCAAAAGATAAAATATCAGCACATTTTTATGACTTTACCCAAACTGTTACATCAAAGTCTGAGATACCTTTTTAATCATGTCAGAAGGTTATTTCAGCAACATGTATATTTAGTCAGAATTGGTTTTGGTCAGCAGATTTATTGGTTAACCTTCTTTACCTTACCAGGGTTTGGGGAAAATAATCCATCATGTTGAAACTGAAACTGAGCTCAGATGACCTAGATTGTTTAATTGTGAGACAATGAATGGTTTGGCCTCTTTTCTCTCTGCTGATGGACAAACACAAACAGGATGTGAAGCTCTTAAAGGGTTGTGTAAAGTGGAAGTGGAAGTGGATTCACCATTATTCACAACAGATATTGAAGATAACGGTGTTACATGTTCCTCTTTTTTGATTCTAGTGAGTCTGACTATGCCACATGGGAAATACCCCAGGTTACTCTTAAGGATGAGGGCTACTACGAGTGTATTGCTATCAGCAGTGCTGGGACAGGAAGGACTCGCACCTTCCTGGATGTATCAGGTAAGCACATATACCAACACTCATTCACTCTGACATGATTATAATCATAATAACAAGCAGATACACTAAATGGTCCATTAATAGATCTTCTGTCATCACAAATCATCAATGGATTTGGTTAAAAATATTACCTGAAGCAAAAGGAAGCCAGACTCGCTACATAGACTCAATACAATGCTGTATATTTACAGAAATGCTAAAGGTCTGTTGGTAACCTCCCCCCATCACTTTGTGTAAGGAGCCAGGACAGGTCAGAGGGATAAAGCGTAAAGGCATTTCATGTACACACCCTCACACACCAATGTTCACGCTTACACGACTTATGGGCATACAGTTGGAATCCAAGGGCCATTTACTATGGGTTCTATTTTATAGGATCCAAGGAGTACGGCTGGAGATACCATGCAGAGAGCCTGCATTATGACAGAGTACATGGGGCTTTATGGAAAATTTGAGCCTAACAGGAGATTGTAATCCATGCCTCACAGCCTTCATGTCATGGGGTTTACGCTCTATGGGCTGTGTGCTTGGTTTGAAAAGCAACGTACCGTAACTATGATGTAAGATGAGAATACATGGAAGGTCGTAAATAAGTATCTTGCTGTGCACCAAGAAAGTTAGAGTGAATAGTAAGGTGCCTATACTGTGATACATGTACACAGTTACAAAAAAACATTCTTGAAATCACGTCTGGTTCCACAAATAATGAATGTTGCAAAACATCTCACAGATATTCATACTAGAGGAAATCAGTTATTTGGTGATGATTCTTTTTTTACCTTAAGGATGTTATAGTTGAACCAGATGAAATCTGTGTGTAAGTACAATGTTTTATACCTTTAGTCTCACTATTGGCCATATAAAAAAAAAAAATCCAAAATTGTCAAGAGTGCACTTTTTTCAATTATTCAGTTTTCATTTCCGTGTGTTTCATGACTAGCTAAAAAGACCTCACAGGAGCTTTAAATACATTTTTTGGGGGGGCTTTTTCGTGCCTTTAATGCAGAGAGAGGACAGTGGATAGAGTCGGAAACCAGGGAGAGAGAGCGGGGAATGACATGCGGAAGGGGGCCACGGGTGGAAGCAAACCCGGGCCTACCGCTCGAGACGAGAGTCTCAACACATGGGACGCGCGCCCTAACCATTGCGCCACCAGCGCGCCCCGAGCTTTAAATACATTTGATTAAAAATAATTATCAAGGACCTGAAAATCAGTATTCTTAGGGACATTGTTACTCTTGACTGGAATACAAGTCTCTACATCATCTGCAGCTAGACAGCAGCGACTTTTCTTTCTTTTAATCCAGCTGCTGACATCGTTTTTCCCTCCTCCTGCAGAGCCACCTCCAGCCATCACAGTGGAGGGGAATGTAACTGCGTCTCCAGGCTCCCGTGCCGTCCTCACCTGCCGCGTAGTCAGCACCGTCAGCTTTAACCTCACCTGGCTGAGAGGAGGTCACGATGCCCGTCTGGATCCACGGGTGAACGTGTTGACGAACCTCTCCCTTCAAGTGTCCTCGGTGAGCCCAGATCACGCGGGTTGGTACGAGTGCATCGCTATAAACGAAGGAGGGGTGATGGCAGAGCGGATCTACCTGACAGTGCAAGGTGATGAGTGTGTTTTTATATACGCTTAAGCAAAAAATCTGAAGCAACTTGGTTGAATTTTTATTTTGTTAATGGTGTGTGTTGATAAAACTTCATAGAACAGTTACATTATGGAGCACAAGACTATTGGCAAACACAACCTCCTTAACAAATACATGCTCTTCTTCCAAGTGCCCTCACCCTCACCCTCCTCCCCTCCTTAGCCCCCTATAATTCTCCCTATTGCTTTCTAGGATGTGTGAAAATGATTTATGCCTGACTCTCAGGCTGAACTACACAGAGTTTTCCATCCCTGGACAGCTCTCATAGTCTTGTTCCTAGCACTTCATTGACACTGAATCAGGAACACTTTGTTGTAAAGATGGAGTATCACTGGCTATCTGTATAAAACCACTGAACTTTGGACTGCACCAGGCCGGGAAATGGCGATGTAATACAGCTGCTAAAACCTGGTTTTAGTGAAGATTTCAGCAAAGTTAGAACTGGGATGAATGAAGTGAGAGCAGCAAGGACATTTCTGACATAATTCAATCGGTCCAAATGAATATCCAGTATTTACTTTGTAATCCAACAAACCGTCCCTGAAGAAGTTAATTCAAAGGCCATATGCTACGTACTTTCCTCTAAATTCTAAAGACTAAATTCCTCGATTCCCGCCAGGTTTTTTCTTTTTTTAAAGCAAAAAAGAAAAACAAATCGTTCCACCTCACATTAAGCTGACTGTTTAACTTGACCTAAATTTGAATCACTGCAAAGCTTGCTGTGAATTTAACTTGGAGTGGTGTCTGCAAGGTAAACCCCAGTGACAGCTTGAAAAGCTGCAGACAGGTTTGGAGGGCAGCTCTGTCATTTGGCTCGTCTCACTGAGTGATTAGTTACACAGTTGTTCCTTCAACTTTTTCCTTTTCTCACTGGGTATTTTTCTCTTTTTGCATTTCCTTCACCTGCGTGTCCTTTTTCACATCATCTTTTCACATGTTTCTTTTTATCTTCTTCTTTCCTTGAACAAATGTCTCACTGCTTTTCTTTTTTTGTGTTTCATAACTCCTAAATCTCTGTGTAAAAAAACAGCTGTCAGCAAGCCCTCAGGGGTTTCCTAAACACCCCCGTGGTCATCCTAGTTATTAGTCTCACTTTGAAGTGGGTCAACAACATTAGAAAACAGATATTTCCTGACCATTTCTCGATATAAAATCAACTATAATCACATTTTAAAAGTCAATATACTGCCCAGTACATGCACATGTTTTTACAACTTGGCATTTTGTGAATCTCCTGTGAGGAGATTTGAGTGTTATAAAGCAGACTGAAATTAATAGTGAGGCCTTTTTACGACCTTCAAAAGCTAACATTGTCATTTGCATGAAGTATTATTATTTCTTCTTTTTTTATGAACAACTTTTTATTGAGTTGACAGCGTGTTTACATACATAAACATTCTGAAGAGCATTGATCATAATCATAGTATCAACTATCAACCGAGTCAAAATAAATACACAACTTAACTTTTTGCATGTGTGTGAGTTGTTTGCAGATAGATAACTTTATCTGTGTTGACAATTCATATACGTCATATTTATCTTTGTTTGTGTATACAAACAAAACAAACGAACATACAGTATACACAACTAAATGCCAAGCCCTCGTTTACCTCCATGGTAACAGACGATACCCCCACTCCACCCCCAAGTAACCTTCCCTTCTGCTGGCTAGAGATTCTACAACTGAGAGACATTCAGACCAAGAACTTAATGTCTTTCCTTTTGACCAATGAGAGAGTTCTAAGGACAATATTTCTAATGCATGATACATACCCCACTCTCTCTCTTCCTGGTTACTAACTCTATCAATTGTCTTTTCGAATAAAGGCTAGAAAAAAGGAAGATCAGAAAATACTTTCTTACAGATAAACAGAAAAAAGATCAGTAAGAGAGGTGCTACTGTCAAATGGAAGTTCCTCACAGAAGCTTTAAGAGAGTCAAACCAATGAGGTATCAGCACAGAAGCCCTTGTGGTTATGAATATGTAACAGAAATTAAATCTAATTTTTTACTTTATAATTATTGTGAGAACAGAATACAAAAATACAATGAAAAATTCAAATCCTGAGTTTGTTTGTTTGTTTGAGAGTCAGACGGTCGAGAACAGAGGCATTACCGGCAATGATTCTGCAGTCCTTTTGTTGTTACACAACCAACCCTACAGTTTTAGTGCAGAATGCATTGCATGTGTAAAAATACTAAATGCACACGTAAAATGAGCAGTCATTATGTGGATGTAATCTGATTTAGAGATGAATGTAGAGAGACTCTGGACAAAAGAGACACAGAAGAAGAAGTTGAATTAAGAAGCAGGATGCAGAATGATTGGGAGTGAATGCCGAGCAGGTGATGAAGGGATGACTAAAGACAAACTTTTTCCTGACACGTGTCGGCTACTGTTGAGTCCAGGGAGCGGAATGTGTCTACTCTCTATAGAACTCTTTGTTACTTAAATCAGGAGTGTCCCTGCCCCCCTCAGAGTTGGGTAACCTTGCAACCTGGAAGAAGCACGATTAGAGAGAACCTGGCTTGGCTATAAACACAGTATGGGGCCCTACATGACCTATCTGGGTCATACATTCAGCACAGTGTGGCCTTAGGCGCCACTAAGGTGAGGATCAAGGTGGAAAGTCGGTGGAATTTCAATTTGTTCAAGTCAAGGTTGTAATACATCAAAAGTATTGCCTGTAAATCATAAGTGTCCGCTAAATGAGCTGTATTTCCTTCAAAACGTGGCATCACTGATGATTGAAGTGGAAGAATGAGTGATAAGTCAATACATTCCTTCACACCTACTGTACTGGCGTGTGAACCTTTGAACTTGTGACTTCAGGCTTCCATCAAACATCCAAAAGACACTGTCTGTTTTGGATGTTTAAGGTCGCAAGGAATGACAACTTTAATTTCTATGGCTTCAAATTACAACAAAAGTTTAGTATGACTCTTTACATATAGATCAGGTTTAGACCATACCTGTTGCTGCTGACTTAAAAAATAATAATCTGTTTATAAAGTATGTGAATATTACTTTGACACTACTATTATTGATATAATCAGGGATTTCATCAGTATGGGGCTGTCAGCTACTCAAAAACTGTCTTGAGCTTTCTGAGTTGCGCTTGCTTTCTCCATTCAGAGAGGAAGATTTGTTTTAAGCGGTTAAAGTCATTTAAAATGTTTCAAGTCTGGCATCAAAATAACTCCTGACAAAGTTCCTCTTCCCCTCCTAGCTCTCCCCCCCATCAGACCCAACAACAGCAAACTACACGGGGCAAGCCTCAATATCTTTAGTGCTACATGATTCCTGAATTAGAGCTTGATGATGAGCAGATAGCTAGAGCAAATGATGCACCTTTTTTAATCTATCAGTGGCTTTAATCCATTCTTAGTGAATCAGGCTCTGAGACTGTATATTAATCCACTAATGAGATAGCACTTGGTACAAGGAGAAATCATTCTTTTTACAGAGAGAAACCTTGAGCAAAACCAGACTGATTGGTGAGCAGCCATCTGCTTCAACTTGATGGGCTCAGAAAGTGGGATAGAGGGGCAGACGAGTGAGACGAATAGAGACAAACAAACAACATACTGACAGTGAGACATAACTGACAGCTGTAAAAAAAAACTACAGATGATAAAAACTATAAGTCATGCCTACAATAATGGCAAAATCAGTGTATTATTCTCTGTAGTTTTTACACTAATAATTTGAGTATGACTGATAAAAAAAAAGTTGTTGCAGTGGGTGTCAAGCTAGTCAACTGCAGCAAGCTGTAACTTCCTTTCTTGTCATACAAATATATACACCTCTAAATGAATCCCTCTATGTCATCTAAAAAAGACAGAAAAAGTGTTCCATCTCTTTATTCAGAAGTTCCCACACTCGGTTTTCTGCACATTGGCAAGGTCTAAGACACTGGAGATAGTTCAAGCAGTGGAAAGAGAAAAGAGAAAACACGTGCTTGAAGGATTCAGTTACACATCATGAATCCATTGAATAAAAAAAAGTTTTCATAACTTCTCTGCGTCTGGGTTCAATAACCCCCACTGTTTTACCAATAAAGAGGAAATGATGGTGAATGAAATGCTGTGAAACAGAATTAGTTTTAGTAACTCCTCTGACTCCTCCAGTCTCCTGTTGGAACAATTTTATACAGATTTTTTTTTTTTACTGTTGCTTTGATTTTAACTTTCACAAACTTGACTCAAGCTTGACTCAAAATGTGCTGACTGAATACATTTAACCTTTATGCTATCATTCTAATATGGGAACCAAGTGCCTCTGTTTTAATATTAACTGATTTTTTCATCGCTTCTCTTTTCCTCTAGAGGTGCCCAAGGTTTCAGTAGAGTCACGAAACCAAACCTTTACAACAGGAGATGAAGTGAGGATCAGATGCTCGGCCAGTGGCTATCCTCCACCACGTCTGGTTTGGACTCACAATGACATCTTCATCATGGCATCCAAAAGGTCAATTAATCTCCTTATACGTAAACAGTTTGGGGGACTCTTCTTAACTTTAACATTTAACATTTTTTTCTAAAATACGGTTTCCAATGCTGGAAATAAAGCTACATGTGTTTAACTTGATTTGTATTTTTTGACTAACTATAACAGTAACAGCACTCCATAAAAAAAATACTGAATTGTATATTTTCTGTGCTTAGACACAGAATGACTCCTGATGGTACACTGGTTATAAGAAACATGGAGAAAAAGGATGGAGGAGTGTATGGCTGTATTGCCAGTAACCAGGCTGGGACAGACACCATGACTTCAATCCTCAGTTACACTGGTGAGTGCTCGATACACATGCAGCCATCCTTTGGCTTCATGGTTATCATTTAGCGAAGTGCAGGCCACAAGCAAATCTTGGCAAACATTTGGGGTAGCTTGGTTATACCCATGACAGGTCACCTGTCATCACCAGGAACACACAGAAACAGAAACTTTTCAGATGTACATTTACACATATGAGTTACAGTTAGAGTTGCAGATTACTTAACCTACTCCTTAAACTGTGGGAAGAAAACTGGAACATCTGCAAAAAGGCCAGCAGCTGGAGCAAACCATAGACTATATTGATGTTGCCACTGTGATGTCATCCATTTGTTTTATTGCACACCTTTAAGGCCTCAAGTTCATAATTTGCTGTAACAGATATAATGCTACTTCTGACTGAAAATGGCGGCAGGTTTGACCTTACACACTTTTGATTCAAAGCCAGATACGACCACATTTTGAAGCCAAGGTTAATATGTTTTGATTTGTACCTTTGTTGGATGGTAGTGACTGGTAAATCCCAGTAAGCAATACCCTTAAGCATATCCTCTTCTATTGACATTTCTGCTCCCAATGGGACTGTTAATCCTCTTTTATTGAAACAGACTTCAAAATGATTATTGAAAATAAAATCTCACAGGAAATTTTAACAGAGGTCACAAATAGACTCAAAGGAAAGTTCACTTTACAAACTGGTTTAATAAGATAGGACTTCTTTTCGTAACCAGTGGAGTCGCCACTGGGTGGAAATTTAAACGAATGCAGTTTTGAGGTACCTTCCCCATTAGCTTCACCTAAAAAAACAGAGAACTAACCCTCTTATTATATGGAAAGAGTTATGCATAAACCTGTTAAATTAGCGGCTTGGGTTATCTGACTGACAAATAGGCACATTATAGCTTTTTGCCATTACGCTTAAGGCCCGCCTCCGCTCCACATCTTTACCTGTTGAAATCGAAATTGATCAAACGTTAGGTTGAGGTAGCATTCCTAACGTGGGGAAAGCCATTTTTGGGCTTCAATAAGCTTTTTCAAAAACAATGGGTGATGTCATTGAGACTACATCCATCTAAATGAAAAAGTATGTACTGCACTTCAGTTTGCTGTCTATACAATACTGATGTTCCGTCTGTTGTTCAACAATATTCCTTTTTCTAGAATCCCCTGTGGTGACAGTTGCTTTGAGCGATATTCTCATTAGTGTTGGTGAAACCACAGTGATGGCCTGTTCTGCGTCTGGAATCCCACAACCGGAGATCTGGTGGTACAAAGGTAACAACTAAGACGCAACACAAAGTACAACCAAAAAAACATGTTTTCATATTCTTGATGAAAACAGTTTTTTCTCGTCAAAGGATTGACCAAAATACATTTCTAAACCAAGTTGACAACACTCAACAGCTGCATTATTTGTCATTTTTTAGGGGGCGTTCGACTGCATTCATCATCCCTCTTGGATGTTGATATGTTAGGAGGTACACTGATAATCAAGGAGACTCAGGATGCTGACGCTGGAGATTACACCTGTGTAGCTGTCAATGCTGCTGGCACCTCGTCAGGAAAGATCGCTTTGGCTGTAGGAGGTGAGAGTAAAAGGGTACATTTAACTTTGAAAAGAGGCATCCCAGTACAGTATAATGAACTCAGAATAAAAAAAGAATTGCGTAGCCTTACCATAGCTGTGAATGTTCTGCAACAGTATTGAATTAAGGGTTTTTTAAAAGTGAATTGATGCTTGTTTGTTTTGTGTTGTAAGACTGCAACAGATAGTTTTTATCATGAAATGCATCAAAGGCACTTATGTCAACAGGTTGTCTTACATCTTGGTTACTTTATCACATCTTAAACTAAACTCTCAGAAATTATATAGAAGGACCTGTCCAGAAAGAAAAACAAACAAACAAACAGAAGCTTATGTTAATCGGATTTTAAGAACTCTGTTGCAACTTTTAGCAAATTCAACATTGTTGTAAAACCTACTTCATACTGGTTAATGACACAAATACTTCTTTGGTGCGATTAATTAAATATGCCTTTGCCAAAAAAAGGGCGGAACGTGTCTCAAACTACTTGGGTGTGTGAATACATGTCTGTTTAACTGAGCACAAACTATACACACAACATCAGCAACAGCACAGCACAGCAACAACACTGACCTCACCAAATGTTACATACCCAGAGAGAGCTATAAAACTGATTACTGCTGTGTTCTCATATTTCACTTGTTGTGGCATTATAAACTTTTAACACTGAATTTACACATAATGAAACCCTTCACTGTTCAGTATTTTATAAATGTATTAAAAACTTAACTATTACAATTAAAAATAACTAACTGAAATTAACTGAATTTAAATAGATGTACTTTTTTAATTGTTAAGTCCCCTTGGAGGGAAATATACTTTCCCCCAGTTTTAAACCAGCATTCCTGTCTCATAAAATGTAAATTTATTATATGAAATATGACAATTTAGAAATATAGTATTCAAAATTTGAATGCTTTGTCATGTGATTATTTAACTTCTGATAACAAACACTTTAGGGCTTAAAGCACATACACTTCATAAGTTAATTACCGATGGGTGCTTGACAGTTTAATTGTCTGTAAATAGAACACAGATGAAGGGTTATCCCGAAAACTCTTTGACCCTCACCATCCTCAACTCAAATTGTTCTAGCACCACCCACGTTCATCCGAGAGCCATCAGATGTGGCCCTGGACATTGGCTCCAATGTGACTCTTCCCTGCTCCACTGAGGGTCACCCAGAACCACAGGTCAGCTGGAGGAGAGAGGATGGAATTCCCATTTTCAGCACGCCACGCATGCGTGGCACAGTCACACAGAACAGCAGAGGTCTACATATCACCAGTAAGTTTATTAGTTGTGTAAGTGCATACATATTACAGGTATATACTGTTTGTTAGGTCTAAATATATATATTTTTTTATCTCAGACCTGTGGGTTGATGATGAGGCGGTGTACGTCTGTGAGGCTCACAACCAATTAGGCAGGATCCAGGCCAGGGCCAGAATCACAGTGACTGGACTGGGTGAGTGCATCATTTGAAAAATCTTGCATGTCTGTCTCTCTATTTCTCTCTTTCTCATTCAGGATTTGTAAAATATTATTCTTCAATCCTCAATTATATCAACATATTAATAATTTCAGAAAAGCGGTCTTGCAGTCACAATGGTTTGAAGGCAGTAATGTCAGGGTTAACTGCTGACATAGCCATGTCTGTCTTGAAATGCTTTTCACTCCAAAGATGTAGCCATGAGGAGATCAAAATTCCTGAACACACTCACACAAGCTGAATTTTCCTTTTGCTGAACAAGCAATTTTTCAGAGTATGTCTACTCAGAGATTTCCTTTAAATGTCCAGTACATTTTCTAAAACAACACATACAGTCCATTTGAGTACCTACATCTGTCTGTTTGACTTTGTGAATGTGTCTGTGTGTGTGTGTGTGTGTGTGTGTGTGTGTGTGTGTGTGTGTGTGTGTGTGTGTGTGTGTGTGTGTGTGTGTGTGTGTGTGTGTGTGTGTGTGTGTGTGTGTGAGTGTTTCCCTCTCAGTCTTTCCACAGAAGTGCAAGTTCATTAGCACATTTCAGCAAGTATGTTTGAACACATGTGCCTTGTTAGCCACTGTTTCTGTTTCACGGTGTTCTCTACAGTGGAAACACACACTGAGCTCTCATATGTGGGCCAAAGGTTAGAAACAACAGACCCACCCAGACGACATGTATTACTGCCCCACTGCCCCGTTTCCCTACCGATGATGGTCTGTTCTCACAAGTCACACGCAACCACAGAAGCACAGAAGCACATGTAAAGTTACTTCTTTGGAAAAATCGTGCAAGTCAAGAGCAACAAAATTGGACTTAATCTTCATCATTTTTCTTAGACACTTTCTTTTCACCCTTTCTCTGTTGTTTATCTATATATCTTTGTAAATAGAACTGTTGCTCTGTGCCTGCAGTCTCGCCTGTCATTGCCATGAGTCCGGCTGTGCTCAGTGTGATCGAGGACCAGCAGATGACTTTGCCTTGTGTGCTATTGGCTGGGAATCCGCTACCTGAGAGGCAATGGCTGCACAACTATGGCTTGGTGAGCAAACACAGAGGACATTTACAGTTTGATAGTTTCCATGTCTTTACAATCAGTCTGAGTTAAATAACCAGGATTTTCAATTATACACACAAATCTTTCAGGTGACCTCGGACCAATATGTGACAGTGAGGAGGGATGGCAGTCTGCATGTTGAGAGAGTCCGGCTAGAAGACGCAGGGGATTACACCTGTTTGGCTGAAAGCGTTGTTGGGGCAACCAACCATACCACTACTGTCAACGTATATGGTACATTACAAAAAAACAACTCTTAACAGATCAGAATATAAAAGAAAACTATTTATAGTAACTTGTGGGGTTTGATAGATGTAATGTAGCAAGAAGGCCATCTAAAACTGGACTCAGAAGTCAGCAATCCATTAATAAAAGGGAGAAGTATAAGATCCAAAATTCAATTTTCTTGAAATTTCAACACATAACCTTTAGTCCCTTTGTCCAGTATTTATTAGAATTATTAAAAAAATAGAGTTGTTTAATTCAAGAAAATAATGTGGCATAAGTTTATATTAATATATTTGCCAAAGAACTTGAACTCCTATGGCACTCAGGGCATTCTTTTATATAAAAATAACATAAATTACAAGTCACATATTGTAAATTAAGAAACATTCACAGTCCTCTGAGATGCAAACAAACTAAATAATCATCTGTTATCAATCAATTGTTTAAAGTTGGTGAACTGATATAAACAGGAATAACTTAACTGTTGAACAAAACATTTGGAAAAATATAAATGCCCCGAAGAGTAGGAAAAGCAAAGGGGGAATTAATCATTTGAATAACAATTTAATTCCTTCTAGTGAAGCCAGGTAATGATCCCTAACAGTTAATGAAGCTGAGCAGTCATTATCTTTATTGATGACCTGTGGTTTTTCTACTGTGTGACGACGTTTTTCTACTGGGAACACCCATTTGTTCTTGCGCCTCTTAAATGTCTCCTTTACACTACAGATCTTAACTCCAAGAATAGGATTATCTTCAAAACCAGAAGCAGCTGAGGGTAATGGCAGAGTTTGGAGCACAGTGAGAGAGAAATGTGTTCTCCATTTACACAAAGGCAGTCTTTGCCAGTTTTGACCAACTCCAATAGGAATCATCCACAGGATGTTCTTTTCAGATGTAAAAGACACAAAGCATTTGCATTTACACATGTACATGTGTTCAAGTTCACATTACCACAAGTAAGAAGACATGCCTTCCATAATTCAGACATAAAGTGAAGCACTAATGTAGAGTGCAGAGAAAAGACAACCTTGCTAAATGTATTGATTACACAATGTGTTATTTTATTGTTTACTTAAATCAAAATCTTCATTTACAAGAAGATGATCCAAGCCTCCAAGGGTTAATATTTTCTGCAGATTTCCGGGAGTCATTACAAACAATACAAACAATACAGATGTTGAGAGCAGAAAAGGACAAGAATATGAAACAAAATCTCTACTGAATGCATTCAATTCTCCAAGTGCCACATGCAACATGAAAGTGGCATGATACAGTAACAACCAAACCAAAAGTGTTCTGTGGATGGATTCAAGTATGTACACAAAAGAAACACTTATGACTGACTGTATCTTATCTCTTTCTTATTTGTCCAGTGATTCCTACCATTCAGCATGGTCCTCAGGTGTTCAGCACGATCGAGGGTACACCGATCACTCTGCCGTGCCGTGCCAGTGGAGTACCCGCCCCTGAAATCACCTGGGCCAAGGTGTGTACACTCCATAAGTTTAAAGCGAGTTCAGGTAGTTGGTATTACGGCCAACATTGCTCATGTTGCATATTATTCTGGCCATACCTCACTAGAGACTCCAGAACATGCTGTACTTAAAAAAGCTCTCCTGCCAAAGTAAGTAAATCCATGCCATCCCAAAGTCATAACTTCTGTGTGATGGTTTAAATATTCAAGAGGCATTTTATTGTGTCTTGACTCACAAATATACTTTAGTTATTTTTTATTTACAGTCAGAGTTGTGTCATAGCTTGAGCACAAAACAGTCATATCGGTTGGTCTGTTAACACAATAGCACGTAAGAAGAAATTCCTGTATTAGGATACATGTGTCTGCCTCATGTGCTGCACCATAAAATCGCCCTTACCTGTGTCCATTAGCCTGCACTGAGTGCTGAATCTTAAAATGTGTGCTAGTGTGTTTTATAAACCTGTGTGTATGTGAACGGTCCCTCCTTTTTCCATCTTTTACTGTAGTTTCTCTGAGTTGTAAAAATCATGCTGTTAAAGTGAACAGGGCTTCGGGGACATGTGAAACCAAAGCGTGCTAAGTTTTATAACAGCTGTTGAGATTTGATTCCTTCTGATTCCTCTGCTGTTCTGTAGAACATCAGTCAAGTCAAGATAAGTTAAGTATGCCAGATCCAAGAGGACAGTCTAGAGATGACACAATCCTGATGCTATGACATCACTTATTTGAGTCACGGCTAGTTGGATTGTATAACTACTTTAGACTTCTTCTTCAGCAGCAGGACACATAAAAGCAAATCATAAATTCACAAACAGTAAGTGGGTCAAACCACAAATCCCACCTCTTACCGTGAGTACCATGTCAAGATGTCAAGTGTTAATAAGGTGGAGTTAATGAACTTGACTCTGGCCTCTGCCCTTTCCCTGTATTTGGGAGGAGAACTTCTGTACTTGGGTGGTCCATCTTTCTCCCTGGATTCTGATGGCAGCCTCTTCATCGCCTCCCCCTCTGGAAATGAGACTGGAGAGTTCATCTGCACAGCTACCAATGCTGCCGGCTACGCCTCCAAGAAGGTCCAAGTCACTGTCTATGGTAAACCTCACATTTGGTTAAAGGCTTGATGAGGTCTGTACAAAGATGAGGGAGATGCTTTATTTTGAATATGATGAACTATTGCTGAATCAAGTCTGGGACTCTGTTGTTATTGCTTTGATCCCTGAAAAGAAGTCTAACAGCATCTTCCAGCTGACAGACTATCTAATAAGTTATGAGGCTGCAGGGAATTTGTAAGAAAATGATTTCACTGCAAAACAGGAGCTGATATCCACATTTTTGGCAAAGTCTTTCAAATTAAATTGGTTTACTTTGTTCAAGTGCTGATCAAGTGTCTTCAATTACATTATTATCTGCTTTTCAAAATGACATCAGCAATCACTAACTGTAATGCTCGTTATCCCTCAGTGTGAAAGTGGCCAAAGCTGGAATACCTCAGCTTGTCATTATCTGAATTTTCCTTGCAGTCTTTTGTGTTTATTGATGAAGGAGATGAAGATGGTTTCCAGAAAAGGGTCAGACAGAGATCTTCTATATTGTTTGGTGAAAAACAGAACAAAGTGCAGCTTCCTGACTGACAGCAATAAATAGGCAAAAGTTTATCCCTAGCACAATTATCCATCACGTTGACCAAAAATGACTTTTGATTGATTATCCCTAACTAAAACAACATAAAGACTGACTGAAAAGTTTGTCGCTCCAAGAGAATAAGTAGGATAAAGGCCTTTGGGACATTTTTGACATGTGAAAATGAGAAGCAATGGCAAATAAGTAAAAACACGCATGCAGTTGGTGCAGTTCTATCAAAATGAACTAAAACATTCCATTTTATTATCTGAACTCTTTACATTTTCATGCTTCAATTAAACATTGACTGAAAATGGCAAGTATATGTCTCATAACGCTGTACATTGAATCTCTGTCTCTTTGTCTATCTGCCCATGTATGTATGTACAGTCCGACCCAGGTCAAATGCTGTCGACGTTGGAGGCTCAGCTGACCCGATGAAAATGTCAGTGATTGAGGGTGAGGACGCCATCTTGCCCTGTGAGGTCAGCAGTGTCCCACCTCCCACTATCAGCTGGGCCAAGGAGAGGCAGCTCATCTCCCCTTTCTCTCCCAGGTAGACCACATCCAGTACTCATGCTGGTAGAATAACGGCCCTTTTAACACAGCTGGAGGACCATTTTTCATTACAGGCACATGTATTTTCCGAGACACAGACAACTAATTTGCTGCCTTAAAATGCACCCCAATTAATAATATTTTCCCTCAACCATGGATAATGTGGTCACATCGTATTACCCTGGATGAAACCTCAAAGTAGAAAAGAGATAGGTGGTTTTTCAAATGCCTCAATGACTAAGGCAACCTCCTTCTCTCTACATTGCTGTGCAGTCTATGCACTGCTCATAGCCTCAAGGTATAGTTTGTGGTTTTATAGGATAACCGAGTAATCACTCTCTCCTCTGTGATCTGTTTTAGCTACTGTGCGTCTGCCACAGGAGCTGTAATTATGGTTGATGGAGGATTAGTAAGAATTACCAGACTATCATTTAACAGAAATGACTTAAGACTTTGAGTGGAAAAAAAGTCAGCGTGTGTATTCTTTTTTTTTAATTTTGAAGCTATGCAGAAGTTATTGTGAATCTCACTTCTCACACTTTATTTCTGTTTATGTTTTTCTCTCAGGCACACTCAGCTTCCCTCGGGCTCCATGAAGATCTCAGAGACCAGAGTGTCAGACGGTGGACTTTATGTGTGTGTTGCCTCCAATATTGCTGGAAATCTAACACAATACGTTGAGCTGAGTGTGTTGGGTGAGTGAGAATATCATAACTATGTACAAAGATTCTGTAATGATCATGAATTTCTGCTGATTAAGCAAGTTTTGTCTGTCATAAATGTTGGAATTTGTCTTTAGATATGGTTAAAAGGTAAAATGATGACGTGTGCAGTGATTTTGATCAGAGTTGAAGTTGAGACATACTTTAATTTTGGATTAGATTGTATATTCACTGAATGGTAGCAGCAAATAAGCTTCCAGGCCAACATGCTGCGTCATAAAAGATATACAAGTACACATAATGCTCTGAAGCCTGTTGTCTCTGACCCCTCTGTCATATCTGCTGCAGTGCCCCCCAGTATCCAGGCTGGCCCAAGAGTAATGAAGATACAAGTGGGTCACCCTGTGGAGCTGCCCTGTGTGGTGAAAGGGGTCCCAGAGCCTACACTCACCTGGACCAAGGATGGCAAGACGTACCCAGTTTCCCCTGACGGTAGTCTGGCATTGAAGAACGTGGGCTTAGTGGACGAAGGAACTTACACCTGCACAGCCACTAACATTGCAGGCAGAGACGAGGCTCGAGTTCGGGTTCTAGTGCAAGGTTGGTTTCAGTCTATGTCTTTATCACACAGGCTTGCACTGAGTTTACACATACGTGTTTTTCTTTCACGGTCTACATTTCAGTTTGATTTGAATAAAACCAAAGGAAAGAAAAAAGTGGCAATTTGTTTCTTTTTATAAGACTGTATGTATTTTTTTATTGATCTTGACTTTGTGCATTCTCAGTGCCCCCTGTGGTGGAGGTATTGGAACCCCCCTTCAATAGGCCCCTGCAGGAGAGAGTTGCAAACCAGCGTATTGCATTCCCCTGCCCTGCCAAAGGTAAATGGAAAATGTTCCACCCCCCCTTTATATTATGAATAAGTAGTTGACCACTTTTTCCTTATGTAGGAAAAACAACTTTCTTGACTCCTACCAAAAGTGATTTTCAGTGAGACAAAGCTAGTAAAAGAATTGAAATCATTCTGGCAGTATTGACAGTCATTTGGTAAGTATATACATTTTTGTCCCTGTGTTCTTTTCTCTTCCAGGTCTTCCTAAGCCAGTGATTCGGTGGATGCGTAATGGCCAGGAGTTGACGGGTAATGAGCCTGGTGTGTCCATCCTTGAGGATGGCACGCTGTTGATTCTTGCCTCTCTGTCTCCGCTGGACAATGGTGAATATGTGTGTGCTGCTGCCAATGATGCTGGATCCACTGAGAGGAAGTACCAGCTCAAAGTCAATGGTGATTGACTGATTTTCTTTTGTTCTGACACGGGACTTTGTAATTAGTTTATCAGCCAGAAGTTATTTGCTGACATATCACTGAACTACCACTAAAACAACATTTAAATAATCACCTTTGATCACCTCCACAGTGCCCCCAAATTTCCGTGAAAGCGAAACGCCAGGAAATGTGTCGTTGGTCCTAAGCCATTCCACCAGCTTGGTGTGTGATGTCACAGGAAGTCCAACCCCTGTAATCACCTGGTACAAAGATGGAACACCTGTAGGTTGAAATCCCTCTGATATACCCTAACTACATATTTTATCCAAAGAAGTGCACATCGTTCTTTCATGTTTCTAAACCTGAGAAGATTAAGTTTTAATCTTGAGCGTATGTTTTAAAAAATGTGTAAACTGTTGCTAGGCAGCTGATAGCCTTGACATAAGTTGTTTCCATGCAATATAAGCCCTTATGTCTATACCATGCTCTCTTACTAAACTTATATTTGAATGGTTACTAAGCGAACCAAATGAATGTATACCCATAGTAAAGGCACCTTCAAAGAGATGTAGTAACATGCTCAGGTATAATTTGCCCAAAATACACTTGAGCTGTTGTCTACTATGTAATTTACAAGGATTGGATCACAAAACTTCCATGCATAATAATAGTTATAATGACCTTTGCTTTCATTTATTAATGAAATCCTTGAAAAAACAGAGTAACTGTACCTCTGATCACAGGGTACGTAGCCTAAGAGAACAACCCTTAAAGCACAGCATGTATTCAGATGTGTCTTTGTGTAACCAGAACCAGCCGGGCGAGCCACAGTGGCAGCGTGCTCAAAGCTGTAATGACAGAATAATTATGATTACTTGATGTGAGAACACTGAGTTTTCACTCACTTTGCTGTAACATCCCTGTTACCTGGCTGATGTTTTTTTTTCCCTTGGCAGTCTGACTAACTTTTCCCGCAGAGCACAGATGGGAAAGTCAGAGTGCTTACTTTAACCTGCGAAATATTCGCAATCTCAACAAAGATGCTTTGTTGGTTCTCAGCTCCACGCAACTATTTCCATGTGTTGTGCACTTTCCAGAATTACATTTCTCCTTGAATGGTTGTTTACCTCTCAATCCGTGTTTGCTTTTAATTCTGCTTCAGTTCTAGCTGTTTTATTTGAAATCTCTATACCTATATGTGTCGCATTAAACTTAATAGTTGCTTTGTTGGTATAAAATAATTCATATCTGATTGCCTTTCTATGCTGATCAACAGGTGGTTGCTAGTAACAACATCCAGATTCTCGAAATGGGAAAAACCCTGAAACTGTTAAAGGCTGCCATGACGGACGCAGGCAGCTACAGCTGTAAAGCCATCAACATCGCTGGCAGCACAGAAAAAGACTTCTTAGTGGATGTTCTGGGTGAGTAAGGAAGTGGGTGGTTTCCTGCTGAAAATTGAATTACAGCTGTGTAAAGACTTGTGGACTTTTAACCCTTACAAACCATAAAAGAAGCCTTAAATTGGACTAATACTCTCTAGCTTTCTTATTTGACCATTCTGATGAGCAGTCAGCTTATAAACATTGATACTCTCTTTCTTTGCTCAAGTTCCACCAATCATTGAAGGGTCAAGCTCTTCTCAAGATATTTCCGCCATCGTCAAACAGGAGATCAGTCTGGAGTGCAAGGTGCACGGAGTTCCCTTTCCTACGATCCAGTGGTACAAAGACAGAAAGTAAGTGACTCCAAGATAATCAATGAATACATGTTTAATTGTAAAGCAGCATTCATAAAATATGTTATATCAAGATACTTCACTAAAAGAGTAGGGCTACACTGTTCTCTTTGTTATAATATTTACAGAGACAAAACATAAATCCACCATGAGCAAAAGGCTTGGCAACAGTTAGCAAGTTTGAGTGTTTGAATGTTGCAAAGCCATCTGCCACGACTGTGTTAGACTTCAAAATTGGAAAGAGAATGAGAGAGTCAGCTAGAGGCAAATGAACAGAGCAACAATAGCAACAGATGATTCTGATTTTTTGGCTACAATGGCAATAATAATGGTAAAAGTACGAGTAGCAGGAATAGCAAATAAGTGAATACAGCTGAAGTCAGCAGTTCTAATATTAGCATTAAAAACTTGTGACTAATAATAAAATAATATAGGGACGACCGATAATGTTAATTATAGCAGTTGGAGTCAAGCAGTGCGAGGATTCAATGTGGCTCAGTTGGTACAGTCGTCGTCTCTCAACCGGAAGGTCGAGGGTTCGATCCTGCAGTAACATGTCCGATGTGTCCTTGGGCAAGACACTTTACTCCAAGTTGCTCCTGCTGCTTCGTCAGCGGTGTATGAATGGGATTGGTTACTTCTGAAGGTCTCACTACACAGCAAGCACTGCCATCAGTGTGTGAATGTGTAGGTGTGACGTGTGGTATAAAAGTGCTTTGACTAGTCAGCAGTCTAGAAAAGCGCTATACAAGCTCAACTCCATTTACCACTTACATTAACGTTAGAGTATTTAGTGTTTTAAACAAACTGATTAAACTGAGTTACATTTTTGTTTTTAGGCTGGTGTTTCTTGGTGATCCCAACCTAGAGGTCACAAACAGGGGGCAGGTTTTGAGGATAAAAAGTGCACGTCTTGGAGACAAAGCCCGCTACCAGTGCAGTGTTATGAACACAGCCGGCAAACAGACCAAGGACTTCAACCTCAGTGTCTACGGTGAGTGTGGATTTTTACACATCCTACAGAGAAGACTACCTCTCTTATACATACATGGATATGTTTCCACGCCCAAGTTGACCACATTTAGCTTCATTCATTTTAGATTGTATCATTTGTTTGTCATTTGCAGTGCCCCCCTCCATCAAAGGTGGTAACATAACGTCAGATGTCACCGCCCTGCTGGATAATGTAGTTTCACTGGAGTGTGAGGCTCGTGGAGTGCCAAGTCCCAGCATCACCTGGTACCGAAATGGTGAGGCCATCCTGTCCAACCGGCAGGCTCAGTACGTCGAGAGGGGTCGCTACCTGAAGATCCCACGGGTGCAGGCGTCTGATGCCGGCCTGTTCACCTGCAAGGTGATGAGTGTGGCCGGCAGAGCTGAGAAGAGCTTTGAACTGGATGTCTACTGTAAGAACTGAACACCTGATAATCCACAGACATTTTTATTGCTCATTATTTCGCATGCCAGCAAAACATGCTTACAGAGACTTGTGATTTTTCATATAGATAGTATATGATAGTATAGTATGTATATAACACGATTTTCTTAATCAATCAGCGTTTCAAATTGTAGGAAGTGAAGAAATCTCTGACCTTGATCCCCCATTGTCTCTACATTTGCAATCTTTCACATATGTGCTGAGCTCTGAAGCTTTTTATTGAATTAATCTGAGCTTCAAGGCATTTGGCTACACTCACTAACACAAGACATTTGTGGCAGTCAACAATAATATCCAACAGCTGTGGAGAGTCAGTAAACAACTGAATTACAAAACAACCCTTGGTCCCTGAAGAGCACACAATAGATTCAATTGGCTTTAAGCATAAAGCAATTATAGAAGTCATTGGCTGATAAAACCCTTGAATGTCTAATGTTACGAGAGATGAGCTAAGTGCCTGAAGCTCTAACTTTTCTTTTGTTTTCTTCCTTCCCTGCCCCCCTCAGTGCCACCCACCATTGCAGGGGGGGATGACGGGCTGACAGAGAGGAAAGTAGTCCTCAGTAAGTCTCTGATCCTGGAGTGTGACGCAGGCGGGCACCCTCCCCCCTCCCTCACCTGGCTGAAGGATGGAGTTCCTGTGCGTCATGGTGAAAGTGTCCGTGTTCTCGAACAGGGGAGTAAAATAGAAATCATGTCAGCCACGGTGTCTGACTCAGGACGGTACATCTGTGTGGCAACGAGCATCGCTGGAGAGAAGGAGGTCAAATACGACGTCAGAGTTTTAGGTAAAGAAAAACTCAAAATGTTACCCTTCAGACTGGTTTAACCTTTTCTGGCAGACCCAAATGAACAAAAAGTGATGGGAATACACATCCCAAAATGCCCTGCCTTCTTAAAAAGAAAATATAAATATAGAAAAAATTAAGCTCGTGTGTTATATGTCTGTGTGCATGCATTTGGGCAATATAATCATTCTTAAGTCCAGCCAGACATCTTGTACTTTCTGCAGTGGTTTATTTGTTTGACCTGAATAGTAGTTAATTGATTTATCGTGGTAGTTTGACACAAACGTTTTTCACAATGAAAACAAAGATATATTTATCTCCCTATAATGTACATGATGACAATCTAAGCATGAAGTTTATCTCTCAGCATGGGCCAAATTTACAAAGAAATTTTAATTTGAAAATAATAATTAAAACTGAGGTCAATTATTTGAATGAGCCCAAACCAGGTATATCATATCAGAGAGAAATCACTATGTAGAAGGTCGGTATCTTAAGAGGCCACCGAACTGCAAGTGTTTTATATGTGGCAAGAGGCATAACATTTAATGAGAACTCATTTTGATCCCACCAACTTGAGCCATGTCATGAATCAGTGACTGACGTGGAGGAGGAGGACTCTTTTGTGTTGTCAGAAAACGTTATTTGCTAATGTGTTTCTACTCTTCCACAATGTTATTTGTAAATGCGAGGGGTGCATTCTTATGGTTGTTTTCAAGACACCTCTACCTGGAAATACCCCCCTAGTATATCTTTGTCCAAACCTAATCACTTCGACATTTTCACAGTGTTTCTGTTTAGTCATCAACAATGAGCGACAGCTTGAAAAGCACTGTGTCGTTGTCGGCAGGATTCGAACCTGCGCGGGGAGACCCCAATGGATTTCTAGTCCATCGCCTTAACCACTCGGCCACGACAACACATGTGTAACCTGACCTGACTCCAATCTTTCTGCTGAGTCTGTCGCTATCTCCGCCATGTGTGCATTCCACATGGGAAGCAGACATCTGCTGTCTCACTGTGGCTTTGCATGTCTGACAAAATCGTCACAGAACTCCTCACAAATACATGAAAATTGAGCTTAAAACACTTCAGAGCAGAAGAGACCCCAGGCAGGAAATTTAACCTCACTGCCCTCATGATATTTCACTTATCTTTTTAACTATCAGCAGCAGAAATAGATACAAATGTGAAAATAATACAATTTAAGGGGATGGATATTAAAATTTCCAACATGTCCAGCATACAATAAAGTGAAATGATACTTTAAAAGTTAATGGAGATTTGTATTTTTTTATTGTAGTTCCTCCTTTCATTGATGGATCTGATGACGTGACAGACAGCACAGTGATAATCAACAGCCCTTTGGAGCTGGAGTGTCACGCCACTGGAACACCTGCACCGGCCATCACGTAAGAGCTCTCTCTCTCATGGATACAGATAAAACAGACTTAAACACACAAGCATACACACACCCTCACTCACAGTTAAATCACTTATTTCCCAGGTGGTATAAAGATGGAAAACTGGTCAGACAGGGTGAGGGGCTGCGGGTGGGAGCAAGCGGTCGACGGCTGATCGTTTCCCGGGCTCAGGTCTCTGACACGGCTCGGTTTCAGTGTGTTGCCACTAATGAAGCCGGCGACCATGAGAGGGACTTCAACGTGGTCGTCCATGGTAAAAAAAAAAAAAAAAAAAAGTTTTATTATTATGGTTGTTCGCTTTTTGTACACTCCAAATTCAGATAGATGTAATCTATGATTTCTATGCATGCTACAGGGACTCCCCCACTTTGGGTAAATACTTCTCTACATATTTGTTATGCCTCTCTTTTTCCAAATGTTCTGTTGCAATGTCTTGTAGGAATAACTCTGTCCTCTTCATCACTCCAGTGCCTCCATCCATTCGTACCGCCGGGCCTGCTGAGCGTTCAGTGGTTCTAAACAAGCAAATCAGTCTGGAGTGCATCTCCAGTGGCATTCCTCCTCCCAGTATTACATGGCTTAAAGATGGTCGACCCGTGGACACAACACAGGGGCACGTTAAGGTTGGTTGCCTGATTGACTGAGTTTTTATTTACTTATAGACTTCCTGAGCCTTACCATAACTCTGATGATCATCTTAATGCCTGCAATGTCACAGCCCGCTCAACTCCTCTTAAATCTGCTGTTTATTCCATTTCGTTGATCTATCTGGTATCTGTGTCTATTTCTGGAGATTTGTTATCTCATCTTACTACAGCTGAAAAAGCACTGAGACGTTGTCGGCAGGATTCGAACCTGCGCGGGGAGACCCCAATGGATTTCTAGTCCATCGCCTTAACCACTCGGCCACGACAACTCTTACTGCACTGTGCAACACACAATTTCTTTGACTGCTGTGTGTAGCTCTGTGATGTTGCCGTTACAGCACAATGTCTCTCTCAAACTAAAAGATTTATTCTGAAATGTAAAAAGCTAATCATCTCAACATGAAAAGTAGAAACCAGTCTGACTTTCCTTTCTGTGTTTGTACTTGTGTCTCTCACAGCTTGAGTCAGCAGGCAGAATGCTAAAGGTCAAAGAGGCAAGACTTGAGGATTCTGGGAAATACACCTGTTTGGCCACAAATGCAGCCGGGGAAACTGAGCAGCACATACGGCTCAGTGTCCATGGTAACTCTCTCCTGTTTCTGCACCTTGTCTCAGTCGCTTCCAGCTCTCTGTCATATGTATGATTCTCTTCACTTTGGTGTCAAGGGATTGTGGGGAGACAGCAGATTATCATGTGGAAAATAGTAACTCTTGTGTGTGACACTCTATATGTCCATCAGAGCCTCCCAGTATCCCTAACTCTGGAGTGATCATCAACCAGACCATCCTGTCAGGCTTCCCCACTGAGCTGGAGTGCAAGGCCACAGGCAGCCCATTACCTGGTAAGACGGCTCACAAACTTCCTTCTCCATTCTGCTGTGCTCACTCACAGGCTCCAGGGCGTAGTTTACTCACCGCTGCTGCTGAGTTGGAGTTGGCTGCACCCCTTCTATTCTTTATCTTTAGCCATTAATGGAAAAGCGGAAAATTGATCTCAGATGACTCTCTACAGGCAGCGACGATCTCTCCATGCTGCTTCTTTTCCAAGTTCAACACAGATAAGCAGACACATTCCAGTGTGATTCAACACTCTTGACTTAGGATGTTGTTTTTATTTTACAGCAGGTGTTTCACTACAACAATTTGCGATATAATGAGCACTAAATTGGAAATAGTTTTTGTTTTTTAGTACGTTTTTAGACTTGAGGGACATCTACAAGTTGTACTACGTTTCTGAGGGTTACAAAAACATTTTAAAGCACCTTTTAGTTTCTTTGCACCTAGAATCTGAAACAAATATACACAGGATCTGAGATTAGATGCAACTCTAAAGTCTAAGTGTTGATTGGATAACCTTTGTCACTTTTTTGATGGTAGGTTTTTTTGCTTTATGTAAATCACTTGAAATGACCTTTGTTCCTCAGCTATCACTTGGTACAAAGATGGCCGACCTCTCACAAGTGCAGCTGGAGTGACGATGCTGAAGCGTGGCCAGGTGCTGGAGATTGAACGGGCTCAGCTGTCTGATGCTGGCACATACAGATGTGTTGCAGTCAACCTGGCTGGAGTTGCTGAGATATCCCACAACCTGCAGGTGTACGGTGGGTGACTTTATACATCACTTACATTGAACAGAGATTTGCTGATTAACAAAATCATTTTACTAGACATAACAACATTTATCTTTAAATGAAAATGCCTTTATTGAATTATATTAAAGATTGGGCATTAATGCAATTGAGTTAATCGTTTGCTTTTCTTGTTCTTGCAGTGCCTCCTGTGATCTCCAGCCGTGGTGGTACGGTAACAGTTGTGGTGAATGAAGCCGCCAAGCTGGAGTGTGAGGCGACTGGTGTTCCTCTGCCCAGCCTCACATGGCTGAAAGATGGCAGCCCTGTTACAAGTTTATCACATGGCATTCAGGTGTTTACACATTATTCAAACCATGATCCTAATGTCTCTACAGATGGTGATAATTTGAACAGAATTCAATTATAACTGTATGACAAGAGCTTTGTCAAACATGTGTAAGAGAGGCATGCATGCTGTTTATTCTTTAGCTTTTTTTAATGGCTATGTTTGTGTGTATTTTCTAGTCCCTTTACTGTTTCTGTGTCTCTCTCAGGTGTTGTCTGGTGGCAGAGTGCTGTCTCTGAATAGTGCACTAGTTAGCGATACAGGCAGGTACACGTGTGTGGCTGTCAACGCCGGGGGAGAACAACAGAGAGAGTACGACCTGAAAGTTTATGGTGAGCAAATAACCCTTTTTCAGCAGCGGAGTCACATAGCCGTAGTACATAAATCTAAATGCAACTATTCTGTACATATTATGCACCCTATTTCCTACAGCTACATTCTTTAGTTTTAGAAAGTAGTATTTTTAGTCTAACTCTTAATAGAGCTCTCATACTAGTTGTCTTGAATTACATTGCTGTTATGATAACATCTTCACTATTAGGGAAAAGTTTAGAACCTAAGGTAGCAAATACTTATATTTAAAAATGTAGCTGTCTAAGACAAGAACTTTTTATTATCATGCTTCAGTATTATAAGGTATAATGAAATATGAATGTAAATATTCACAACCTGAAACAGCAGCTTTTTTTGCACCAGCAATGAATTAGCTGACTGAAAATGTTCATTTTTAATTATTTTGATTGGCTTTTAAATGGTTATTCAGTTCTTCAAGAAAAGCATGAACTCTCTGGGTTCTGACTGTCAAATGAACAAAAAAAATCTGCTGTTATTTGTACACCTTATCATAAAATAATTTGGAAACTTTGTATTTATGGGTATTCTGTATATTTTGGCAACAGATTGAGCGTTACAACAGCTGGGAGAAAATGCTGCTTTACCCTTATAATAAAACCAGGTGTGAGATAAAAATGAACTGTTGGTGTTGCGATAGTCAAGTATTCATTTTTGCATTACAGAAGTTATAAAACGTTAGATTTATTTGTTAAGCTTTCCACAGGCGCTGTTGAAAAATGGGTTCAATTCTTGTATGTAGGACAAATTCTTCCTGGCCATGACTCTAATGTCTTTTCCTTGTTGCACTACTTGTTTTACTGGATACGGCTTTGGCCAACTGTACTCTGTCTTACAAAAGAGCATGCAAGAAGCATAGGTTGTTACACTGTAACAATATTTGACAAAGGCCTCAAAGCAAAAAATATGTATGTAGAGTGAGTTTGATATGAGTGAGTTTAACATTTTAATAAACCTTGTCAGTTTCCTACACAGAGTTGAACCTGATGGCAGATCAGTTGTTATACAAGTCCAATCAAAACTAATGTCCCTGAGGAAACAGGAGACAAGTAGTTTACATACAGGGGATTGTAGAGCCTTGTGTCTGTTCCTGCATGTCTGTGTTAGCACATGCATGAAGAATACAAACAGCCACATGAGATTCATTTCCTCAGAAAGATCAAAAAGAGCTTGTCCGTGGAAATAGAGGAGAATTTGTTGTGGTAATTACTACCACTCTCCGGCAGCTTCCTGTGTCTGGCCAAATACTGAACTGAGGGCCTGTCTCTGTCCTTCTCCAATGACTTCAGCTTTGTCTGCCCACTGAAGGGGGACGTAGGGGTCAGCAGTCATTATCTAGTCCAGGCCAGATTCACTCCAAAATCATGGCTCATTAAATACTGATGAACAGATTCTCAGATTTACATAATAGCTACTTAAAAAAGATGTTCAATTTAAAAGTCTGCTTCTGCTGTTTGAATCCAGACATTGTCAAACTAAGGGGTGGAGACCTCCAGACATTTCCACTGTTTGCCTCCCCTCTGTTCACGCCAAGTGCAAATCATATCCAGCACTCATTCAAGCTTTTGGAAATACAGTTGATCTCTGTCAGCAACACCCATCTACTGTTGAGACGATACTTAAATGTGCCTGAGTCATTACTCTTCTCTGCAGATAAGGTTCTATGAAGCTGTTGGAGATGAAGGTACTCTGATTGTTATTACAACAAACAAATTAGCTGGTTTTCCTTAGATAGAACAAGTATTTTAAAGCCCCAGATGTCCAATTTAATACAGTGTATAAATCAGGAGTGTGTAAGAAATACTGCAGAGTGAACAGCATTTTAAAATAGCTTAGCAGGCAAATGTTAAGGTTCGTTAATTTGGAAGATCATGTACCTTATGTGTCTCGTTTTGTGTACGTATTTTATTTCATATGTAAGAAACAACTTCATGTCTGACTTCATGGCTTCATGTCCGTCACAGTACCGCCCAACATCAAGGGTGAGGAGGTGAACGCCACGGTGATGCTTGGTCTTCCAGTGGAGCTGCTCTGCCAGAGCGATGCAATCCCTCCACCTACTCTGTCCTGGCGCAAAGATGGCCGACCCCTCTTCAGGAAACCTGGCCTGACTGTCGCAGCTGATGGGAGTGTGCTCAAGGTAAAGCCAGAGCTATGAGGTGTCTTTTTTTGTTTGAATTGCCCCCCAGGGACAAATAAAGTTCTTTGAATTTAATTGCATTTTTTAGTCTTTCAAATGTCTGTGATTCTCTCTGATGGAAAACTTGGCTTGATCATTCAACTCTTCAAAATGCTATTTTTTATTGTATTTATATTTTAAAGTGTCCGTAACACATCTCAAAATGTGTCATTGAATCTAGGTGGAGAGTGCCCAGGTGCAGGATTCAGGCAGGTATTCCTGTCAAGCCACAAATGTTGCCGGCAAAACAGAGAAGAACTATAACCTCAATGTCTGGGGTAAGTTTATCTTAAAGTTTGGCTCTACTTATTTGCTATTCAATTCATAAGAATACTTTTGGGTTAAGTTAGTTATATGCAGGTTGCTGACAGAGCTTAACCCATTTTCATAGTTGTAATTCTTACTTCTGTTCACCCTAACTTGAAGCCAGTGTTTTGACTTAGCAGTGCTGGTTGGTTATAATTATTATGTTTTACTTCCAATTTCCAGTATTTAGTTTGCTGTCGTACATTAAAGTGAATTGCTTTATGTTTTAAATGTTGTTGGAATTCTATTTAGATCCTTTTTAAAAATATTTTATTTTTGTCTCACATGGAGATGTTGCATCAGTATATTAGCTGTTTAAGATCATGTTACAGTTAGTTTCCCATGAATGAAACACACCAGCATGTAGCTTAAATGAGATGTGAGCGCCTCCCTTTGGTGTCCTGTCATTATTACAGTTTCTCCCAGTATCCGCGGCTCAGAGGAAGTGTCTCCTCTGACTGTGATTGAAGGAAGTTTAATCACTCTGGTGTGTGAGTCCAGTGGCATACCGCCCCCCAGCCTGACCTGGAGAAAGGATGGTATGTGTAAATGTGTTTGTACAAGAAACACAGACATCACGTGATGAAGAAGAAACATGTTATTTAGAAATTGTATGACATGATGAATCCGGCTGAACATGTCTGAACACCATATTTAACTGTGTTTTTATCTGTCCCAGGTTCTGAGCTCAGGTCAGATCAGCGGGTCAGGGTTTTATCAGGAGGTCGCCAGCTGCAGATCTCCAGTGCTGAGAGGATAGATACAGGCTCCTACACATGCACAGCCTCCAGCACAGCTGGCACTACTTCCAAGGAGTACAACTTACAGGTTTATGGTAAGTGTGTGTCAAAATACCTGTGACAAGAAGTGAAAAAAATGAAAAAAGAAAATTGAGTTTCACTCTGAAAGGAATCAAAGAAGTTACAGGGTGTCAGAATCTGCTGCAATTAGAAAAGTGTTATATGTTTGTAATAACAGATGGAGGTGGTAAAAGTGTCCTGAATCTTTGTAGTATATTGGACCAGTGCTTAAATGGAGAACCCCAAAAGGATGACTACTTTTACCAAAAACTCAGGACATATTCACAATCATTTTGTTTGAATTAACTAACAATGACTAACATGTCATTGACATGGGCCATTTGGTAGTCAAGTGGTTACGTCGCGGGCCCCAAGTACAGACGCTATATTACTGTTCCAAGAAACTGTTGGTTTAAATCTGGCCTCGGCCCTTTGCTGGATCATCCCCCACTCTCTCCTCTCAACATTTCCTGTCTCTCCTCAGCTGTCCTATCTGATAAAGGCAAAAATTGCCCCAAATCTCAATTTAAAAAAAACTCTATTAAGATAACTGGAACCACTTGCATTGTTAATTTACTTTACAAAAAGTCTATATTTTTGCACTCGGATGTACTGGATATTTTCAGAGCTATAAGTACTTAGCATCTCTTGAGGGAGCTTGTACACCATCTCACATGCTTTTCTCACTTCAGTCCGCCCTTCCATCAGAAACAGCGAGGGCAACTCAGATGACATTGCTGTGACAAAAGGAGGTGACGTGACCTTACAGTGTGCTGCGGAGGGAGTGCCTCGACCAGCGATCACATGGCTGAAAGATGGCCGACCTATCACAGGGCCGCATGGTGCCAAGGTCCTCAATGAGGGGAGGCTGCTGCAGCTTAAAGACGCTAAAGTGTCTGACACGGGACGCTACACATGTATCGCTGTTAATGTTGCCGGACAGGCTGACAGCAAGCACGACATCAGTGTACATGGTATGCATGACCATCTGTTTTTTCTGTTCTTGTCAATGAGATTAAATCCATCCTAATGTCTTAAATTTTCATTCTGCCCCTTTCAACTATTATTTCTCATCTCTTTCAGTTCCACCAAGTATAATTGGTCAGGTAAACTTCCCAGAAAATGTGAGCGTTGTGGTAAAGAACCCCGTTGCTTTGAGCTGCGAGGCCTCAGGTATTCCTCTTCCTGCCATTGCCTGGCTGAAGGATGGTCGGCCAATCAAAGCATCCAGCTCAGTGCGAGTGCTCTCAGGTGAGTCCCTGTTTGACTCTCTGTGCTTTGTGATTTTGTGGAGAGTATGTGTTTACGTTGGTCATTGTCAAAGGTATAAAAAAGTTTTTATTATTATTACTAATGAAGGAATGGACACCAAGAATACGAATGATAGTACAGGTCTTCAAAGTAGTAACCTAACCTATTTGCTTGCGGGGTTTCAAAGGCCGAGCATGTTGCTATATGTCACCAGTAATTGCATTGCATCAGGGGCCAAACCCAACTGACAAATCGTCTGCAAGAAGACAAACAGAAGTAATTACTTTGAATTTGTTTTGAAACATTTAAGAAGAGTTATTGGGTGCCTCTAAATTAAACTGTGGCAGCTAAAATTAAGCACACCACTTTTCATTTCTTCTGCTGAAATAATAATAGCCTGCTTTGCCAAGTAGATCTGTTTGGTATTTGACTAGTCTACACTTGGCCCGTTCTCTCAGGTATTATTATTATCGGAATTACTTTAAAGTCGAATAAATTATTTGGTCAAAATGGACCATCGAACTATCACAAAATTGTGAATGATGTGAAGGCAATCATGTTGTCAAAGAGGAAGGTTCATGATGAGGTTTATCAAATACAGACGGGATATCATATAGTATTGAAGGTTTATTCAGCCCAGCTAAAAATTCTCATGAACTCTGTAAGGACAATGTTGTTTTTAAACACAAATGCCATTAGTCTTTTATCCCAGCTAACTGGATTGTAAATGTTTAAACAGCTGTGAGCCTCAGCATCGAAAATTCCTTCTGGTAATTGATCCCAGTTTTCAAAGTGGCCATTTACTTTCAACAGGTGTTGAAATGTTGTTTTAGACGTCCATGGGAACGAGGGAGAATTTGCTTTATATTGCCTGACACAGCCTTTTAAGTATTTCATAATGAAAATAGGTGATTGATAGTTACTAGCTTGTTTCATTTCCAGGGGGCCGGAGTCTGCGACTAATGCATGCTGCAGTAGAGGATGCTGGGAGGTACACCTGTATTGTGTCTAACATTGCTGGAGAGGAAAGGAAGAACTTTGACCTCGACATTCTTGGTAAGATTTATGAAACGTCTTGGCATTGTTTTTGGTTTCAATATGTTGAATGAACATTTCTTGTTCAACTTCATTGTTCATATTTAAATATTTTAACTTCTGCATTAGTGTATCACACTGTGAATACTTTTTAATTAATGGGAAAACGTTAATGACCAACTTATTGATTTTCATTCAACAGTTCCAGCAAGGATTGTTGATGAGGGAACAGTGTTGGATACCAAAGTTAAGGAGAAACACAACATAACCCTCACCTGTGAGGCATCAGGTAATACAAGAAACTTCCCTTTTTTTTTTTTTTTGATTTAGATTTAGATTTATTTCTCTGCTGAAGATTTGAAATATATCTATTATAGACTAAAATACACTTTATTGTCCCCTTGGGGAAAATAATCTGTTGCAAACATGAAGCTGCCTCAACAGTAGGATCAATGAATAAAAACAATAGAAACAAACACAATCCACATGTAATCCATACAGACATTCAGATTTTTATCGATTTGGGTACTAACGAGATTTTAAAGCATCTCAGTTTCGATGTGGGACTCATTCTTTGAGACTCACTGTGCCTGTCTTGGAACAGTCTGCTAATATATTGAATGTTAGGTGAGGTTTTCAGTCCTCCCCGTAACTTTCATGGCAGTCTGCACCAGATGAGCAAGCTTAGATTTTAACGGAATAGAGCGATTACCATACAATGCTACATAAAATACACAGGTTATCTAATAATAAGTTTATACATAGATATCTGTAAGAGCTGACCAGCACCATCTCCTCAGTTTTATTTACATATATAACAAGGTGGCTGAGAATAATGAATAATTAATACAGGTCCTAATATGGATCCCTGAGGAACACCATATTGCTATATACTGTAATTATTATCCTTATGACCATTCATAAAAACACATCAGTTGTCCTTTATGGTCATAGTTAATGAGAAAATACAATATAAAAAAAAAATCATCTCCCTTTATGTCTCATTATTGACATTTATTTCCAGGTAACCCTGTGCCAGAGATAAAATGGCTAAAGGATGGACAGCTGTTGGTTCCTGACAAACGCCACCAACTTTTGTCTCATGGCCGTTTCCTCCAAATCTACGGGGCCCAAGTGGCAGACACTGGCAGGTACAGCTGCCTGGCATCTAACAGTGCAGGGGATCGCAGCCGACACTTCAACCTCAATGTCCTGGGTACAAACACAACTCCTCCGAATCTATCACGATTATTCAGAGAATAACACAACTAATTAAGAGCAATTGAAGTCATTCTTTGAAGTACATTTCATTGCTTTGTGCTCTTCTTTTTCTTTGACAGTTTCTCCAACCATTGCTGGGTCTGGTCCTGACGACTCATCAGACGAGGTGACGGTCACTCTAAGCAGCCCCACGTCTTTAGTGTGTGAAGTTCAATCCTACCCTCCTGCTCTCATCATCTGGCTCAAGGACGGCACTCCGTTTGAGTCCAGTCGCAACATCCGTGTCCTCCCAGGTTTGAGACCACATAAATTTAAGAATAACGTCAAACTGAGTAGAGTACAATAGTATGGTACATAAACATGCATCAATAATTCCCATGCTCACACAGGTGGAAGAACCCTGCAGATTCTCAATGCTAAAGAAGAGGATGCTGGGAGGTATACATGTGTGGCCACTAATGAGGCTGGAGAGACACTGAAGCACTATGAGGTCAAGGTTTATGGTGAGATTTCTTTAAAAACATGTTATAACAGAACCAGTACACAAATCTCAGTTAACAAGAAATAATCTTGTGAACACACTACAGTCTGACCATCATGTAAACAGTTGATTGGTTGATGTGGTCTTTAACATGTTTTTTTGTGCTCCAGTTCCCCCTCAGATCAATAAGAATGATATCCCTGGGGAAGGACTGGCACCTAAAGAGGTCAAGATCAAAGTCAACAGCACACTAACCCTCGAGTGTGCAGCTCAGGCCTTTCCAACACCTGCACTGCAGTGGTACAAGGATGGACAGGTAGATATCAGATTGTAATCCATGATTATGGGGGAAAAAATGAGAAACAAAGCATTAATATAAGTAAATGTTTGGAAATTACTCATTAAAGTTTCTTATATCCATGACTTTTTTCCTGCACAGATCCTGCGAGCAGATGACCACGTGTCCATAACAGCCAACGGCCGTATCATTCAAATAAAGAGTGCTCAGGTGTCAGACACTGGTCGCTACACCTGCATAGCCACTAATATAGCTGGAGAAGATGAGAAGGACTTTGATGTAAATATACAAGGTGAACTGGGGTTGACTGATGCTGATGTGTTGACAGACTATTTTTGCATATGATGGGCTCCAAGATTATTTTCATGTTTTTATGCCTTTTTATTGAATAACTGGTTATGTTTGCAAAATGTCTGTGTGAATAATACCACTTATCTAATGTCAGCATCTTTTGAGACAAATGCAGAGTCATGGTTGTTGTTATTGTTCATACCACAGCTAAAAATAAAGTAAAAAATGCAAATAATAAGAGATTTAACATTGTCCTATTTTGCTTTTTCCCCATTCAGTGCCTCCTAATTTCAACAGGCCTGGTGGGGATGGCGATACTTGGTCTTCCCCAGGCTTTGGAGTGGATGTTCGAGATGTGATCCTCAACAATCCCATCTCTCTGTACTGTGAGACCAACGCTGTCCCCCCTCCTACACTTACCTGGTATAAGGATGGACAGCTGCTGAGCTCCAATGACAAAGTTCTGATCTTGCCAGGTGAGATAAATCAGAAAAAGAATGAAATGAGTGAACCAGAGCCAGGCAGAGAGACATTTTGCAATAATGATTTTTATTTTTAGGTGGGCGAGTGTTGCAAATACCTAGATCCCAGGCTGACGACTCGGGCAGGTACACGTGTGTGGCTGTCAATGAAGCAGGAGAAGACTCCATTCAGTATGATGTTAGAGTTTTATGTGAGTAAATATGTTTTCCTTTTAACAAAAAGTATCAGTATCTAAACAGAAGCAGAGGGAATGTATTGTAGAAAAGTTTCTCATAGTGTATTTTTGTCTTTTTTGTCAGTGCCCCCTGTCATACGGGGAACAGATAGTGATTTTCCTGTTGAGATCACAGTCCTGGTCAACAAAACTACCCAACTTGAGTGTATCGTGGATGGTAACCCCACCCCCAAGATCACCTGGTTTAAGGACAGCCAGCCAGTCAGCTCTGATGGACCACACAGGATCCTGTCCAATGGACGAACACTTAAGGTAATATCAACGAATCAAAGACAGTTGTTTGCGGCTGTGTCTCATACCATAGCCAACTTTTCATTCAAATAGATTTCAGGGATAAACTTGCTCTAATATACCTGTTGCCTATAATATCAACCAATAGCACTTGTTCAACAACCATGAAATAAATACATTTACATAATAGTTTTTATTAAACTATTATTTTAATGCTGGCGATTCAAAAGTGAGCTTGTGAGGTCCAAATAAATCAGAAACACTTATTCATTAGGTAAATCCAATGCAAGCAGCTCTGGGGTCTTATTGGATTTTGTTTTTTTCAACCGTTCTAAAACAACAGGTGCTGACAGCTCAGGTGTCGGACACGGGGCGCTATGTGTGTGTGGCTGACAACGTGGCTGGAAATGCAGAAAAATCCTTCAACCTCAATGTTCATGGTAAGTTAAATGTGAAGTCAAAGTTTATTATTGCTGGATATCAGAAGATGTATTATATTACGGTAGATGTTAGATATTAATATAGCAGATTGCAAATGTAACCAGTGTCACGGCCGGCTCACAAACCCATGACAAAAACTGGAGGAGACAAGGAGTACGCTCAACAATACACGTTTATTCGCACAACAGCACGTTAAACCAAAAGGTACAGAGCATCGGGGATATCCTCTCTCCCCAATCTCCTTCTCGATGTCTCCCCCCAAGGAGGAAGTGAGGCCAGGGCCCAGGTGTTCTCAATCCCCGATCCCACAGACCACGCCCACTGGCACCTGAAACAGAGAAAGACCACACAAGGAACCAGGAACCAGGAACCAGAAGTGGTTTTATTACAGAACCCCTTCCTATTCAACATTTAGCCCTGCCATATGTGGGGGTAGAAGTTAAACTATAGCCCCGCCCACTCAGGGACGCATTTAGTAGAGGCATAATGAGTTTTGTTACATGAGTACATTTCAAGGAGAACATACAAGCTTTCCAAACTGAAGAAAAAACTTTTTTGGCATAAAAGCCTTTAAAGAAATAAGAATCAAGTTATATGTAGATTTAGTCTACAAACATTTGTGTTTTCTTTAAGAATGATCGTTAAGCATAAAAGCTTGTTTTGTTTTTATGTATTATTTTTTATACTGAATATTTCTTCCCTCTTTGTTTATAGTGCCTCCAACCATTATTGGCGTGAATCCTGACACTGTGACTGTGGTGGTGAACAACTTTGTGTCTCTGTCCTGTGAGGCGACTGGTTTTCCTCCTCCTACTCTGAGCTGGCTAAATGAAAGAGGATCCATTCAGCCCAACAGCAATGCACTCATCATGCCAGGTACAGGGGAGCTTAAAGTCATGTACAGGATCACATGATAAAAAATGCACATTGAAACCATTACGCGTTTAAATAATAGTTTGAATAGTTATATGTAAGAAAGCCGTAAATAGATCAAGACCTCATTATTACAGTGGATTTGTAAGGTGCCTGTGTGTCCCTTTGTTTCTTCAGGTGGTCGTACGCTGCAGATTCTGAAAGCAAAAGTATCTGATGGAGGAAAGTACAGCTGTGTGGCCATGAACGCAGCAGGAGATGCTTACAAACACATCCACCTTACTATATTTGGTCAGTCCACATCCACACCAACAATAGACTGAGCACCTTACTTCTGGCCTCTAGTTTTACATCATTAGCGGCAGTATACCTTATCTTTTTTTTTCCTGCTGTTTCCCAGTTCCCCCAAGTATCCGCGACAGTAGTGGGGACTCTCCTGTGGTGGTGAATGTGCTTGTTGGGAAATCAGTAACTCTGGCGTGTGAGTCCAACGCTGTGCCTCCTCCCACCATCACCTGGTATAAGAACGGCAGGGTGGTGACAGAATCAGCCAACCTGCGTATCCTGGCAGAGGGACAGATGCTTGAGATCAAAGGCTCAGAGGTAAAACTACGTAATTTGTTAAAGCTTTAACTACCTTTGAGTTTTATTAGAAACTTCGAGTTTTGAGCCCGAGAAGAAGAAAAAAATACATTCTGTGTGTGGCTAAAAATGTGTTTAATTCGATAGTTCTGTAGTCCGTCATGAGGGCTAGTAGTTTTAGGATAGCACGGCCTGAGACCCACAGAAGTGTCTGTGTTCTGTGTTTCATATTGTAATGCATATTTTTCCTTAAAGTCTTGTCTATTAATGTTCATATTGTTTTTAATTAACTCTGCAAAGTCCTTTGAATTGCTTTTGTATGAAATGCACTATAAAAAAAAACTAGCCTTGCCTTAGTTGAATCTTTTGTATGATAAGTAAGTGACTTCTGTCTTTGGTTTGTCTTGATATTTTCCTGAAAGAATGTGTTTTTCTTCTTTTTCAGGTGTCTGATACTGGACAGTATGTTTGCAAGGCTACCAACATTGCTGGACAAGTGGACAAAAACTTCCACTTAAATATCTATGGTAGGAAGTGATACATACTCGTTGAAAAAAAAAAAAGAACAGTCCATTTTAAAAACCACACAATGAATTACAATATCATTTTGAAAACAATCTCTATCTCTCTCTCCAACTCATCAGTTCCTCCCAGTATCGATGGTCCTGCAGAGGAGAGAGTTGTTGAAACCATCAGTAACCCAGTTACCTTTGCATGTGATGCTACTGGAATCCCTCCTCCCAGCCTCGCTTGGTTGAAGAATGGACGACCAATAGGTACGTCTGCATACAGGTCATCTGCATCTTTCTTTCAACCTGTTGTTACCTTTTGTTTCTGGACGTTTTTTCAGAATAGAAAAAAATAACTAAGTGTAAATGAGGCAAAGGAGAATTTTACAGAAACTTGTTCAGTGGTTTTATTATTGTCCTTTCTTCCAAACAATTGAACTTTACCTTTTGGTAGGGAACTCAGAGTCTCTGGAGATGCACATCTTCTCAGGAGGAAGCAAGCTGCAGATTGCACGCTCACAGCTTTCTGACAGTGGCACATTCACGTGTGTGGCCTCCAACGTGGAGGGCAAAGCACGCAAGAGCTACCACCTCTCTGTTCAAGGTACATGCATAACATCAACTCAGACGACAACAAAAAGGCCCTTACCCTTTAACCCTTTAAAATATTCTATTTTCCTGTCAAGCTGATTTGTTTTCAGTCATAACAAATGTATCTACCAATATATATGGTCTCTCTTAATATTCATAGGATTTTGCTACAACCAGTAACTCTCTCTTAGTCCCTCCTAGTATCTCTGGATCAGAGCTGCCCAGTGAAACGGGAGTCTTGCTAAATGAAAGCATCCAGCTGGTCTGTCGAGCCAAGGGAACCCCAGCTCCAACCATCCAGTGGTTAAAGGATGGTGAAGTAATTAACAGTACAAGGAACACCGGGCTCAGGTAATTCATGCCATTATGAAAAACAACAAAGAAAATGTGGGGATTTTAAAATGTGCAATTCTGCTCATTCTGGTAGATGTTGTATTGATTGTGGTGCTGAACATGTTGTGTTCAGGATCAGCCCGGATCGAAGCACTCTCACTGTAACTGGAGCTCATACCACTGACAGCGGAAAGTACACCTGTGTGGCGTCCAATGCTGCAGGAGAGGAGGACAGGATATTTAATCTGAATGTTTACGGTAAGTTTTCAAAGTCATACTTACATATCATCCATGACAAGAAACCCTCAAGCTTTATTCATGTCTCTTGTTTTGCTTTCCATCTCTTTTATTAGTTCCTCCCGTGATAGACGGCAACAGTGAGACGGTGGAGCAGTTGAGCACAGTTCTGGACAGTTCTGTCAACATTGAGTGTGTTGCTACAGGCTCTCCGCCCCCTCAGCTCAACTGGCTTAGAAATGGCCTCCCTCTGCCAGTGTCCTCCCACATACGGCTTCTCTCTGCAGGACAGGTGCTCCGGTAGGTCAGTGGACAGGACCCAAGAGGAGTTTGTAACATGTTTCTAAGCTAGGAGCAACTTCTGGTACCTGGTTTCCTGCAGGTTTTTCTGTTAAATAAAATAATGATTAATGGTCTATCTATCCACCAACAATAAAAAGAAAATCTGTTAAGTGTTAGAAATAATAGTTCCATTAAATGGTTTTGGTTTAGAGAAACATTTTCTGTTGGAAGACAGAAATGGATAATTGTTTTTTTTTTGAAAATGTAACAGAATATTTGTTTTAATTTTGCATCTGTCAGGATTACACGTACCCAGGTGTCTGACAGTGGCACCTACACCTGCGTCGCTTCAAACAGAGCAGGTGTGGACAACAGGCATTACAGCCTGCAGGTACATGGTGAGTGTGAAAATATTACTCATTTGTAATATCTGAGGATTTAACAATCAAACACCACTCTTAGAAATGCACTTCAGCAGCTAATAACCAACTCGATGTTTTATTGCTCTCAGTCCCCCCTGGTTTGGACGGTGCAGGGACCACAGACGATGTGACTGTGGTCAGGGAAAACTTGGCGTCTCTGATGTGTATAGCTGATGGGACACCGACTCCCACTGTGTCCTGGCTCAAAGAAGGTGTTGTATTAATTCCTGACCCTCACCTCAAATTCCTGAACCTGAATACCACATTGCAAATCATCCAAGCCCAGGTCAATGATACGGGGCGCTACACCTGCGTAGCCAACAATACTGCCGGCCAAGCCAGCCGCCATTTCAACCTGAAAGTGCTAGGTGGGTAAAAGCGCTATAACTCTCACGTTGCAGCTTTAGATGAGAAAAAAAAAAAATTATTTTGTTTATTTAATTGCTTTGTCAGATCCTCCACGCATCAAGGGCTCTGGTGTACCAGCAGAAGTATCTGTTGTGGTCAATAATGTCCTGGAGCTTCAGTGTGAGGCCTCAGGTATCCCTGCACCCTCTTTGACCTGGCTGAAGGATGGACGACCGCTCCCACAGACCAACAGTCTGCGTCTCCTCCGGGGAGGGGAGGTGCTCCTTGTATCCTCAGCACAGGTCAGTAACATTGGATTATTACAATAACATACCCTTTTTTCAATGTATTTTGTTTTCAATCAGCTTCTCTTTTCTATACAGTGTGACACCTCTGATGTCTTTGTTACACTTCTTTGTGTTTAGTTGGAGGACACGGGCAGATACAGCTGTTTAGCTAATAGTCCAGCAGGCGATGATGACAAGGACTTCCTGGTTCGAGTGCATGGTTAGTAACAACGATATTTAACACACATTTTATGCTTTCATCAACCTCTCCAAAATTAATCGCATTTGTAAAAATGTCTTTTTTTTTCATTCTTGAAAGTTAAAAGTTAATGAATCATTATAATACAATGTGACATACAGTAAGATGTGGCTACAAAAATCCAAATCAGTGTGTGTCTGGTTTTCCTGTAATAGTTCCCCCTAACATTGCCGGGGAGAGCTCGCCTCAGGACGTGTCAGTGCTGCAGAACAGACAGGCGACTCTGGAGTGCAAGTCAGATGCCGTCCCACCTCCAACTTTGACCTGGCTCAAAGATGGTCAACCATTAAAGGTCAGATTTCAAACAAACAATAAAACTCACTCATTGCTAACACTTTTCTTAAAACGTACTCTAAAGTTATTTTTATTTTTTATGTAGGCCTCTGCCCGCGTGCGAATCCTGTCAGGTGGACGCTATTTACAGATCAACATGGCCGAGCTCGGCGACAGAGCGCAGTACACCTGTGTGGCCAGTAACATCGCTGGCAAGACAACACGGCAGTTTAACCTGGCTGTCAATGGTACAGCCACAAATAATGCATTGACCTCAAGAAGCTTGCAATTATTTACAAATAAGAATAAGAGCTCTAATCATTATCCAGGGACAAAAGTGTAAATATGTTAATCCCCTTGTGTCCCCTCAGTGGCCCCGACTATCAAAGAAGGCTCCCAGTCAGTGTCAGTGCACGTCAACAAGCTTGCAGTGCTGGAGTGCATTGTTAGTGGTGTGCCACCGCCACGCGTATCCTGGAGGAAACATGGAACAGTATTGGCAGGAAATAACCCCAGGTAAACTTAAGTTTTTCATAATAATGAAGCGTTTTTGCTCTTTCCTTCTCAAATGAGAATTGTTTAATGTGCAGTGTTTGTGGGTTTCAGGCCGATAAAATGCATAAGCTTCATAAACATTTGGTATTGGAATATTTTAGCAAAACTCAATTATTCTCATTTCTTTGTGTATCTTAACTACTCTGTACCAACATGTGCAGGTACACATTTGTAGAGGATGGGTCATTACACATCCACTCTGCCCAGGTGACCGACACTGGCCGCTACCTGTGTATGGCAACAAATGAGGCTGGAACACAACGCAAGAGAGTGGATCTGCAGGTTTATGGTGAGTGAGAGATACAGTATCTACTGTAGATACAAAACAAGTGGAAAACTCTCTGACATCCACAAACACAGTCACACAGTCATTTTATCATCATCTCTTCTTTCAGTCCCTCCTTCCATCGCCGATGGCCGCACAAATGTGACAGTTACAGTCAACGTTCAAACCACTCTGTCCTGCGAGGCCACCGGCATCCCCAAACCTACCGTCAGCTGGATGAAAAACAGTCGATCCATCAATACGGATCAGAACCAGAATATGTACAGGTTGATCCAGGTTTTCTCCCTCTCTGTTTTCTAATTCATGATTGACAAAAAAAAACTCACAAAGACAAATGAACAAAGTTAAATTTACTCGCCATTGCCAAACTTTTTAAATGTATATCTGTTTATCTTTCTTTATCACATTTATATTCTAATGAAAATACACAAAGAATAACAAACATTCTTCTTATTGCAGATTATTATCATCCGGCTCCCTGGTAGTTATAGCACCAACAGTGGAGGACACAGCAGTGTATGAATGTGTGGTCTCTAATGAGGCAGGAGAGGACTCCAGATCCATAAACCTCACTGTGCATGGTGAGTAACACAGCATTTGTTGACTGTGGTTGAGTTGATCCTTTGGTATGAAACATTTAGCATGATTTTGAAACTGAGTTTTAATTAACAAGACAATTTGTAATTACTTTTTCTAACTCTTGTCCCTCTAGTCCCTCCATCTATAGCTGATGAGCCCACAGAGCTAGTTGTAGCCAGACTGTCCCCAGTGGTTATCTCCTGTACTGCATCCGGTGTCCCTGAGCCTACAATCCACTGGAGCAAAGACGGCATGAAGCTTTCCAAAGAGGGGAAAGGCTACAACATCCTCCCTACAGGTCAGAATCATATGAGTTTAACAAGCATCTAAGAGTGCACAACTTGTATTTGGTACAGCTTTCCTAATTACATCTAAAAACAAAACATAAACTTGATGACAAAAACTGGTAATTAAAATTCATGTATTAGAATGTATAACATTGTTGTTTTTGGTTTATTCTTCTACTGGTTCTACTTAATTTATTGACAGACTTTAAATCTGAGTCATTTCCTAATCCAGTTAAAATTAGGGAAATAAGGAATACATCTAAAAAATGTTGACTTCACTTCCGTATTATGCTAATTTCTTTTCAGGTCCAATTGAAATCCCCTCAGCAGAGCTCAGTCATGCAGGACGCTACTCGTGCACCGCCAAGAACGCTGCAGGCTCCACCCACCGCAACATGCAGCTCACAGTGCAGGGTAAGATCATACCCAAAAACCATAAATCATGACATGTACACTGCTGTTTGGAGGATGTGCAAAGAGAAAAATACAAAAAAATATTCTTTTTCAGAACAAAATTGTTCTTGGCATCAAAGTCTCTTTAACTGTTGCGATCTTCCTAATCATCATTCTTCTCCCATCACTCTCTGCAGAGCTGCCATTGATCCAGTTTCATCCGCCCACCCTGGATGTGATCCTGAATAACCCCATAACTCTGCCCTGCAGGGCCACGGGCTCACCCAGACCCACCATCACCTGGCAGAAGGAGGGCATCAATATACACACCACAGGTAATTATTCTTTTGTCTGTGAGTGTTAGGACTCACCAGTTATCAGTCATAACATTGTGTCTCGTGGGTTACAACAGGTGGAAGTTTCACAGTGCTGCCCACTGGAAGTCTGCAGATCTCTAAAGCCTCTGTGTCGGACTCGGGAACATACATATGTGTGGCTCAAAACCCTGCAGGCACTGCACTGGGCAAGACAAAACTCAGAGTACAAGGTAGGTCAAACCATTTTTAGCAGGTTGTTTACAATCATGTAATGACAACAATGCAGTATATTCTTAAAACAGTCCTGCAAGAAACGCTAGTTTTGTATAAAGTTACAGTGCTGGTTGCATAATCATATTTATTGCTTAAATCTTTGGAGAGCCCTGTCTTTATTTAATTCATTATCCTGATAGGAAACAGTAATGCATCTTCTAACTCACAACCTGCTTTCTTTCAATGTTCTTCAGCCTAACAGCCTATTTATATTGGTTTTTTTTTCTCTAAGTGTTTTTTCTATTTACGTTGTTCTGCAGTTCCTCCGGTGATCAGCTCAGAAACTCAAAAGTATGTGACACCTGTGGACTCCTCTGTGACGCTTCAGTGTCAAGCAGACGGCTCCCCTCGCCCCTCTGTCTCATGGCATAAAGACGGGCAGCCGCTGAGGGAATCTGTGCAGCAGCGGGTGCTCAGTTCAGGATCCCTGCAGATCACGTTCATCCAGCCGAGTGATACTGGACGATACACTTGCACTGCTGCAAATGTAGCAGGAACTGTCAGCCTAGAGATGAGCCTCACGGTACAGGGTAAGTCTCAATCGATGCATTATTTGAAAGCACAACGCAGAACGCTGCATGCAATGTATGATTAACCTTTTTTTTTTTTTTAAACCTGTGGTTGCAAGAGAGCAGAAAAGATACTGCCTCTGGATTTTTTTTTCTGTAAAACATTTTAACTTTAAGGTCTTGACCAATTAAACAAATTGGCCTCAAGTGTTAAAATGGAAAGTACTGGGTGCCAGTACCCTCTGTGATTGTTTACATTTATGAAGCCTTAACTAGACTCCCAACCTTTTCAGTCCCACCTTCCATCACTGGTGGAGAAAAGGAGGTAGCAGTGGTGGAGAACAGTCAGGCTCAGCTGGTGTGTGTGGTAGAGGGAGTCCCTCAGCCTAGCCTGTCCTGGGAGAAGGACGGTACTCCTGTAGTGGAAAGCTCAGGGGAATACACCATCCTGCCATCTGGAGAGCTGGTGATAGACAGCGCTCATGTAAGTGAAACAAATAAAAAACAACTTTGATCTTTTTGTTAGTATGTCTTTGGACTGAGGGAAGCTGAATTTTTGCTTGGATCATATTAACTTCAGCGGCTATGGTTCTGTCTTAAATGTTATGTGTGTATAATGCATGATGTGTACTTGACTTGTCTTGTCCCCTTCCTCTGCACCAGCCTGAAGATGCAGGTATTTACACCTGTGTTGCCACTAATGAGGTCGGACAGGACAGTCAGACGGTGACCCTGTCTGTTCATACTCACCCTGTCTTCACTGAGCTGCTCGGAGACGTGGCCCTCAACAAGGGAGAGCGCCTCCTGCTGGCCTGTGGAGTCAGCGGCATGCCACCGCCAAGAATCACATGGGCCTTTAACAACAACATAATCCCAGGTAAACAGCAAGATCACAGATGCTTAAAATGTAAATGTGAAAGAGTATTTCCTCAAAATTTTTCCTCAGATCCATCAGACAAGTTGAATATTTTCTGCAGCTTTGTGTCATGCATCAGAATAGAGACGATCAACGGTTTAACTTATTGCTTTTTTTCACTGCTTTAGTTCACTATGATCACATGAACGGCCACAGTGAGCTGGTTATTGAGAGAGTGAGCAAAGAAGATTCAGGCACTTACACCTGTGTGGCAGAAAACAGTGTAGGAACCATCAAGTCGCTGGGCTTCATCTATGTCAAAGGTAAAACCAGAGGATATTATTTGGTTGATTTTCCTAAACTTGATTTAATTTTTTTTTTTTTTAATCGAACTAAATCTCTGAAATACATTTTTGTTTGGTGCTGATTTATATATTAAAAGTAGCCATGTAACTTACGACTATACCTTACTCATGTGTTGTGTCCATAATGATATAGCAAGTTCAACTGTCTCTCTCCAGAGCCTCCTATCATTGATGGGGACCCTCACTCCAACCGTATTGAGCCTCTGGGTGGTAACGCCATCCTGAACTGTGAGGTCCGGGGAGACCCCCTGCCCATCATCAGATGGAGCAAAAGTGGAATCAACATCCAGATCAACAACCGCATCCGTCAGCTGGACAACGGCTCCCTCGCCATCTATGGCACTGTGGTATGAAAACCCAAAAGACTGTGAGCTCTTGTGTGAAATTCTCTGTACAAAGTGTTGATTGAAGTATGCTGATGGCTCAATCAACCTTTTTTATGAACAAAGTACTTTAGAATATGTGCAGTATTTTCAGACCAACTTATCTAAAAGGGTATAAATATAATTTGAGACTTGTTTTTGATAATGATAATGGCTGTCTTTTCATAACATTTCATACAGAGTGAAGATGCAGGCAGCTACATGTGTGTGGCAACAAATGATGCTGGGGTGGTGGAAAGGAGTGTCACACTTATCTTGCAGCGTGAGTTTCTATCGTCTCCCTGTCGGTCTTTTTCTGCATACAATCTGCCACATGATCAAATATAAAAGTTATGTCTTAAAAAAGTAATTCAATTCAATTATTCACCTTAAACAGTGACATTTTATGAGATTATCTCCAAAAATGTGGGAAATTAGTGAAATCCACCTTGAAATGGTGGCTCAAAAAGATCTCCCTTCTTCCAGGTGCACCCACCATCATAGTGGAGCCAGTGGAGACAGTAGTAGATGCTGGCACCACAGTCATGCTTAACTGTCAGGCGGAGGGTGAGCCTACACCGATGATGGAGTGGTCCCGTCAGGGGCGCCCACTTTTGGGCAACGACCGCTTTTCCCCCCTGTCCAACGGTTCTCTCAGGATTAGCAGTTCCCAGAAGGAGGACACAGCTGAATATGAATGTGTGGCAAGAAACTTGCTGGGATCAGTGCTGGTCAGGGTCACTCTCACTGTACGAGGTGAGCTGGAAATATTTTTGATATTACACATATTTTTACACATTATTCAAAATGTATTTCTAACATCTCCAATAAAAAAGTTTTCATTCTCCATTTAAAAAAAACATCCACAATAAATAAGATCAAAACAAACAAAAACACCTTAAAAATTATAAAAACAAAAACTACAATTTTTTTTAGTTCATGGTGGCTATTCAGAGTGGGCAGAGTGGGGTCCTTGCAGTGTGTCCTGTGGTGTCGGGTCCCAGAAGAGGCTGAGACAGTGTAACAATCCTCGACCTGCCAATGGAGGGCGTCACTGTGCAGGATCTCACTCAGAGACACGGAGTTGTCAGGGAAAGCCCTGTCCAGGTGAGGGTGCTTAAATATGTAACAGACTATTAAACCTGCTCACCATTGAATACAAAACAAAAGTACAAACTGTGAATGTGAAAAAAACAAAATGTATACGATTGTCCTTCAACAGTGGATGGTAACTGGTCAGAGTGGTCTCTGTGGGAGGAGTGTTCTCGTACCTGTGGTCAGGGCAACAGAACCAGGGTTCGGACCTGCAGTAACCCTCCAGCTCAGCATGGAGGCCGACCCTGCGAGGGGAAAGCAGTGGAGGTTATTATGTGCAGTGTCCGTCCTTGTCCAGGTGAGAAACTAAATATGATTTTTCAGCAGAATGAAGAGGTAGAATAAGGAGGTGCAACTGCAAAGAGATCGGTCTTATTTGTTTTTGTTTAAAAATCACAAATTTCCTCTAAGCTGTGCACCTATCTACTCTCAATCCATTATAGACCTACTGTACCGTCTATGATGAACTCACTCTGAATAAGTGTTACTCTAGATTTTATCAAGATTATTTGCCTTCATTTTGTCGAGAATCTCATTAAACGTGTCCAATCACAAGCAAAAATCTAAATTTGAATCCTTTAATTGAATTTAAATATGAATTCCACACTATCAAAATATGCTGTTACATTAAAAGTCTAAAATATGTGCGGAAGTACTTCAGTTTAATCAGCAAAATATACTGAGTATAAAGTGAATATATTTCCAAATATCAATTTAAAAAAGTCTCTTAAACACTCTGTGTTTGTTATCTAAAATAAATGTGAAATATATTGATATGTTCAGAGTCAAATTCTGCATTGACTTTCTGTTTATACCTGTGCAGTGGCAGGTAACTGGGGGTCTTGGCTGCCGTGGAGCCCATGCAGTGAGACCTGTGGTAAAGGCATGAAGTCCAGAATCCGGCTGTGTAACAACCCTCCTCCTACATTTGATGGGCCGCGGTGTGAGGGCTCAGACACCCAAACACAAATGTGTAAAGAAAGACAGTGTCCTGGTGAGGGCTCAGGGATTGTACGTTATTGTTCAAACCCCTGTGTTTGTCCCTAGATGAAGAAAAAACTCTCTCTAATAACGTGGCTTCTTTGTTTTTTTTACCCCCCAGTGGATGGGAAGTGGTCATCCTGGGTGAGCTGGGGAGCCTGCAGTGTTTCATGTGGAGGCGGGACCAGACAGAGGACACGCCTTTGTGCTAGCCCCGCCCCTCAGCATGGAGGCAGACAGTGTGAAGGCAATGATGTACACATTGACTTCTGTAACAGTGACCCATGCCCCGGTGAGTATCACGTTTTGATGTGTACATGACTCGCGATGTGTACTTCTTTGCCTCGTCTTATCTTTGATGTTTTGACTTTCTGTCTTTCAGTCAGTGGTAACTGGGGTCCTTGGAGTAGCTGGGGTAGCTGCAGTAAGACATGTAATGGAGGTCAGATGAGACGCTACAGGACTTGTGACAACCCGAGACCGGCCAATGGTGGGAGAGCTTGTGCAGGTGCAGATTCACAGATACAGAGATGCAGCACAGACATCTGTCCTGGTGAGTCCTAGGCTCTGTCGAGGCCAGCAAGGCCTTGCTTCATTTCCAAAAGTCTTTGAAAGAAACAGCTTCATATTACACCAAATATCAAGTAGCTTTGTAGGTTAAAGATGGCAGTGTCAAAATAACTGCATTACAGCATAAGGGCAATATATGTGGAAGGTGTCTCTATTAATTTAGACGTACTTTTCCTTTTAACTCAGATTATGTTTTCTTGTCAGAGTTCTAATACATTCTGTTTACATGTGTGTACTTTAACAGTTGATGGTAACTGGGGTTCATGGCAGCCGTGGGGAGATTGCTCTGCTTCCTGCGGAGTAGGAGAAAGGTCACGAGTCCGTTTCTGTAATAGTCCATCTCCTAGCAACGGGGGTCGGCCGTGTCCTGGAGACTCCTCTCAGCTGTCCAGGTGTAACACTCAGGCCTGCCCAGGTAAGACATTTTTGAAAAACGTAGTATGTATGTTTGCAGCTGAGTGCAGCATTAGGGCATAATTAAAAACTTTTTTTTTACCAGGTGGACCCCAGAGGGCACGAGGAAGCATCATTGGAAATATCAATGATATTGAGTTTGGCATCGCCATCCTCAATGCCACCATCACAGACGGCGAGTCAGGCAACAGAATCATCAAAGCCACTATTAATAATATACCCAGGACATTAGGTTTGTTTACAGTTTTATTTACTTTTAGATTACATTTTCACCACCATGTATACCTGCATCAATGCAGCAAGTTGCCCCTTTTACAAGGTCTCATGTTAAATAAGATTTGCACCCTTTTCTGCCTTTGTGTAAAGGTCCTGCGATGAGAAAGCTCATCTCAATCCTGAACCCTGTCTACTGGACCACTGCACAGGAAGTAGGAGAGGCGGTCAACGGCTTCACTCTGACAGGAGGCATCTTCAGGAGAGAGACACAGGTGGAGTTTGCCACAGGTGAGAATAGACAGACCTTGGTGATTGTGTATTAAATCAGCAATGTGAGCTGTTTATACAGATACCACTGGGTGGTTTTAATCTGTTGCTTTTGAAAAAAATGAATGAAAAATTATAAAAGTGTTTAAATTGGAATGTTTTAGGTGAGATCCTGAGGATGACCCACATTGCCAGAGGCCTGGACTCAGATGGAGTGTTGCTACTGGACATCGTAGTGAACGGACACATCCTGCAGCTGCCCTCACACGCTGACATAAACATCAAGGTATAAGCATAAACTATACACTGGATTCGACTATTATATAATTTGATGTCAAACCTGGAATATATCAGTTAAAGCAAAAATGAATTTGAGCTATTTTTAGCCAGTTTGCTACATATTAAACATCCATGACAAAGTAGGGGAATTCTAGTTAATTTATGTTAAACATTAAAGCTGCCTCACATGTACACTTTGTTGGACTCAGGACTACACAGAGGACTACATCCAGACAGGCCCAGGCCAGCTGTATGCTCAGTCCACTCGCATGTTCAGCGTCAACAGAGAGAGTGTGCCCTACTCCTGGAACCACACCATCTCCTACGACCTGTCCAAGGGCAAGATGCCATACCTGGTAGAGATGCTGCATGCCACAGCCATCAGCGCTCACTACCACCCCCTGGAGGAGATGTTGAAGTATAGCATACAAGCTAGCATTGCCAAGGGTGAGAAAAGTGTTTTCCCTCTTTTGTTGCTTAGTCATCAAAATGTCATTAAACATCTCGCCTTTTTCTTTTCTTTTATATTTTTGTCACAAATGTGATTAGATTTTTTTAATAATGAAATGTTTACATGATTCCAGGAGATCGCAGTAATCAGTGTCCTCAGGGATTCACTCTGGTGTCTGCTGGGCCATACTGTGCAGGTAGTGATTATCAACACATGTAATCCATATCAGAGCATTCTAACTTTATGCTTTGTGTTGCTTCATGTTGTTAATGTATCATTCATGTGCTGCAGATGAGAACGAGTGTGAGGTTGGTAACCCCTGCTCTCATGCCTGCCACAATGCCATGGGCACCTACTACTGCTCCTGTCCCCGAGGCCTCACCATCTCAGCTGACGGCAGGACCTGTCAGGGTATACAACACACACACACACACACACACACACACACACACACACACACACAAACACACACACACCTGGTTTCAATCAGTGCTGTCAGCTGTACTGTTTTTACACAAACATGTAAGTTGTTTTAATAATTCGACTCGTGTCTTTCTTGTAGACATTGACGAGTGTTCGTTAGGTGGGAACGTGTGCAGTGATAGACAGGAATGTGAGAACACGATTGGCTCTTACCGATGTGTAATGCGCTGTGGGCGGGGCTTCAGGAGAACAGCTGATGGTCTCAGCTGCACAGGTACAATGGCGAGCTTTATTGATCAAGTGACATTTTGTGGGGAATGTCGCTGACTGTTTTTTGACAATTGTCTCTTTTGTTGTTCAGATGTCAATGAGTGCCAGGAGTCCAATCCGTGCAATCAACACTGTCTGAACACGATTGGAAGCTACAGATGTGCCTGTGAACCGGGCTTTCAACTCAGGAACCGGCGCTGTATAGGTGAGACAGCTACATCTCTACCTCTTCAAGCTGTATTTGTATTATTCATAATGGTATTTTTTTTTTCTTCAAATGTTTCTTTTTCATTATCTAAGTGCTTGAAACTGTTAAATGCTCTTATCAAAACAGACTTTGTTAAAAAGAAACTTATTCCTGCACTCTTCTATTCCCCACAGATATCAATGAGTGCAGACAGAGAGTCTGTCGATCAGATCAGCAGTGCAAAAACACACGGGGTGGTTACAACTGTATTGACCTGTGCCCCAATGGTATGACCAAAGGTGCTAACGGGACATGTGTAGGTGAGGATTTACAAAGTATTTTTTGCTGAGCCAGAGTGCATTTGCTGAATTATATAGGTTTGAACAACGATTTACTTACATTTGTCAAATAAGATATTTTTGGATTGAATGATATTTTACTTCTGTATCTTTTATGGCTTGTAGACATCGATGAATGCAGAGATGGCACTCATCAGTGCCGATACAATCAAATCTGTGAGAACACCAGAGGCAGCTACCACTGCACATGTCCGCGGGGCTACAGATCTCAGGGAGTGGGACGACCCTGTCTCGGTATGTACAGCTTTGTCCTGTAAACCTCCTGAGGCAAAACTTTTATTAAGGCAATGTTATGATGTTCAAAATGCTTAATTTACTCTTACAAAGCAGCTGATACCTCCATTTGCTAGCGTTTATTTCTGCTTAACATACGCATTCAGTATGTAAAGCAGTTTAAACATCATTGCAGCGCTCTTCCCTCACACGTCTCATCAGCTTGCTTGCTTCTGCCAGCGAACTTCTCTCTTTGTCTTAATGACTTGCTTCTGTTTAAAGTCTCAAATAACTCTGCTGATTTCTTTAATGTAGTTTGGACATATTATACTGCCAGTGCTTGCTGACATCTCTAATGGGCTGCAATTAAAAATGCTGACTAACTCTTAACTTGAAAAGCAAAGGTTCAAAGCATGCCATCAGGTCTTATACAGCTGTAAGCTTACAGGAGCAAGGAGAAAGAGAAAGGGACAATACATAGTCTGTTCTTTGACACAAATAAAAACACAAAGAGACCAGCACCTACATTTCTCAGATCTGTCTTTCACTCTGTTTCCTTTCACTCTTTTCCATTTCTGACTTTTAAAAGTGTTTTCTTTATGTTTGGATCTGGCTATTTCCTGGAGTCGCTTTGTATTGGCCAACACTCACCTTGACATCATTAACATTGGAAGCGGATGTCTGTCTCTAGAAATGATTTAAGCTTTACATCAGATTTTGTAGCTGATATCAAATGTGAATATTATTTGATATCATCCCATTAGTTAATTGGATTTCAAAATTCAATTCAAAGTTTTTTTATTGTCAAACCTCTACCATTATTTGCTATGAGATTTTTTCTCATACAAATCATGTATTTATAGTCTCAATACATTTCTGTCTTAAGCACATGAAAATGTATTGTTGAACACCGGGGTAATTGACATATACCCTTTTCTCCCCCTCATCCTCATCTCCATCTCCCTCCTCTGTTTTCATGGCCCGCACCATCTCGTTTATTCTTCATCCATCATCTTCTTTTCCCTTTGCTTATTTTGCACCTCTTTCTTCTTCCATCTTTCTTTTCTATCACTCTGTCCTCTTGTTTTTTTTTTTTTCCTGGTGCTGGTCTTTCTTTGTGTTGAGGGCAGATATAAATGAGTGTGAGCGGCTTCCCCAGCCCTGTGCCCACCAGTGCATCAACACGCCCGGCAGCTTCAAGTGCAGCTGCCCGCCAGGGCGCCACCTGCTGGGCGATGGCAAGTCATGTGCTGGTCTGGAGCGTCTGCCCAGCTATGAGAGTTATTCATATGGCTACAGGACGTCACAGTCCTCTCCTGACATCAGCTCCTACCAGCGACTCTACCACAACCTGGCCTCTCAAAGTTACCACTCCTACGCAGCCAACACACGGAGGCGCAACAGGGGCCAGAGCCGCAGAGAGGCCGGCGCACATTCCTCACCACAGGGTTTCCTGGCTTGTCAGCAGGGGTTTGAGTCCAGGGGGGGCTCCTGCATAGGTAACTATGGAGGACAGGCAGGGACAAGATGAGGGAGAGGACGAAGGGTTTTTCTAAGTCTAAGAGTGTGCGCCTTGAAAATATGTCTCAGCACATCATTAATGTTCTCTGAATTTCTCTGTTGCTGTCTGTGTTTTTTTCGCTTGCGTGTCACCCATAGACATCAACGAGTGTGAGGTGAGGGACGCCTGTCAGCACGAGTGTATGAACACACCGGGGAGCCACAGGTGTCTCTGTCCTGCTGGGTACCGCCTCATGACCAACGGCAAGACGTGTCAGGGTGAGAACTCCTGCTATCCTCTCTTTCTTTCAGCCATCATCATTTCAGCTGGAGTTTCTTATAGCTTGTACTGAAATTAACAACGAGGTGTCTTCCTGATCCACAGATATAGACGAGTGTTTGGAACAGAACATCCAGTGTGGAGCTAACCGGATGTGCTTCAACATGAGAGGAAGTTACCAGTGTATAGACACACCCTGTCCACCAAACTACCAGAGGGACGCAGCCACAGGGTAAAGCTTTGTGGAAATAAGATCAACCCGTTCAAGATAGAAACCGTAAAGACCAGAATGATTGACAATCAAATCTCAGGGATTCAAATTTACAAAAAATTTTGTTGTTTTTTTTTAACCTTCAAAGACTGAGTTCCTAAACAATAACGTATTCTTCACAGACTGTAGACATTGTGATTGTCTCGTGTAGATAGTTTTGCATTTGTTTGAAATGTTTTTTAATGTTTTAAAATGATGTTTACTGGGAGAAAATGCATGACGGTTCACAACCCGGTCTGTGGTCTAAACATACTCTGTATAAAACATGAACATAGTCGCTATGACGACACCTATTGGTTTATCTCATCACAACAAGTTGGAGTTAAAGGGGGTCTTTAACCTCCGGGCAATGAGGCATAATAAAATATAAACAGACGAGTTATAACACACACACACACACACACACACACACACACACACACATAATAATTATAATAGAAATACAGAGTCATTTATTCCACAAAAATGCAAACACACTTCTATTCTTCAATGTGGCTTTCTCCTGTTTCACATCTTTTCCAAATCAATTACTGTTTTAGACGCTCTTTTCAAAAATCTGTTTTGAGTTTATATAACATATGACTCCTTTCCTGGATTGTGCAGGACGGAGTCATGCACCCGAGAACCACCTTCTTGGCTGTAGACGAGGACGTCACGTTACCTTTTGCCCTGCGAGACGAGAACCTGAAGGGAGTGCTGTTCACCACGCAGGCGCTCAGAGAGCCTCAGACGTACCGCATGAAGGTGCGAGCACTCTCCTACAGCGAAGACGGAGGCATAGAGTACCAGACGACCTTCATCGTCTACATCGCAGTCTCTGCCTACCCCTACTGAGAGCACTTTAAGAGACGCAGGACAAGAAGGTGCGCTGATGAGTTCGGACCTTTACATGCTAGGATAAAAGTGAGAGTGTGGTTTTGGGGAGTTGCCACACCAGTAAAGAAACTGAAAAAAAAAGAGACTTTGTGTTCAGGTGAGAGAAGACAGAGAGTGAAAACAGCCCCGAAGACATAAGGAAAAAGATTCAAACCATCCAGCTCACTGAAGGTTACCTGGATGGTTTTGGGGAGTTGCCACACCAGTAAAGAAACTGAAAAAAAAAGAGACTTTGTGTTCAGGTGAGAGAAGACAGAGAGTGAAAACAGCCCCGAAGACATAAGGAAAAAGATTCAAACCATCCAGCTCACTGAAGGTTACCTGGACGTTGGATAAAACTGGCTATTTATTGGCTTCAATCCTGGAATCCTTACCTCAGGCTGTTATAGGATGCTTGACATTTTTTTTTTTTTTCCACATCCCAAAGATGTATTTATAAGATCAAGTTTCCTCCTCAGAGCTGAGCATCCACCTCTGACTAAGATAGGCTTCAACCCTAATCATGAAATCTTAGCTAGCCTTTTTATTAACATCTACCTATTATTAACTTATTGGGAAGTGCTCGAACGAGAACGAGCAGTTTCCCACCTTTGTTTAGCCTTCGAGTCGAGACATGGTGCTTATTCTGGCGATAGAAAACTTGACTGTCACATTTTAAACATCCTCAGGTAGTAGCCTTTAATACACAGTGTATCCTATCTTTACACTGATTACATCATCAATGTGCCATACTGCTCCATCCAATAGTTCATACCAAGATGTACTTTATTTTTATGACTTGTAAATATGTTTGTTTTTCTTATAAAGTATTGTCATACTGTAACTATTGTAACCATTTTGTAATAAAAGTGTAATAAATGAATACAGATTGAAGGTAAAGTTCATAACGAATGCCTGCAGCACTAAAGCAAGAACCAGCTTTGATCCTCACTGAGCATCTCACACATCTGAGCCTGAATTAATCTAATCAGAGTTACACTCAGAGTTACACTCAGGAGGGGACTTAATGACAGGAATACAACTTAGCAAGTTACATACAGCAAAGGGAAAAGCACACATGGCTCCCATTAAGTAATTCAATAACAAGTTAAAAAGACGTTATATATTATAATGTTTTATGTTGCATTATTTTATCTTTATTTTAAATCTACAATTTAAATGAGTAATTAATAACAATCCAATGCATCCACATATTCTTATAGGGTGGATACAATGATGTGGAACTAAATGAAATGGAGAAGTTCTGCCACTTACAGGAAACGCACTGTAAAAAATCTGACGTAGAATGTAGGTCAGCGGTTGAGCTTATGAAGATGAATGGAAAGTGATTACAAACTAAATCATTGAAACTTTGCATCCCTGATAAATGCAACCAAAAAAAATGGAAAAGTGCAGTACTCACTGAATGATGTAATTCTCTTGAAGGAGGCTTTAACTACACTGTGTGATGTCATAACACTCAAGCCTTGGATGTCAACCTTTCCTAAGACTTTAAATGTGTTTCAAGGATTTTTACTTCTATCAGCTAAACGCGACATTTCAATTTAAAGTAGTTAATATAGTCTGGAGGTTACATTCAAGTGTGTTAATGACAAACATCATCAGAGGTCATGGTCAGCATTTATACCTTTTATTTTAGTTTTTTTTTTTGTCAAAAACGCACAAACATAAAAAAGGAATATGGAGTAAGGCAGTTTGTACATCAGTCTGGTGTGCTCCCTCGTCTTCTCGGCTAGAAGAGCATCACTGTCCGGAGTGACATCAAGCAGAAAAAAAAGTGAAGCGTTCTCTTTTAGTTTTCATGTCACACCAGACGTTACTGCATTAGAAAAATCAATCTAATGTCTGGATGCATCATCACTGATGACAGTATTCAAACATGGACACCCCATGTCTAAATATCCAACGATGAAACTCGTGAGACTTGTGATAGAGCTTTTCTGTAAAAAAAATAAAATAAAAAAAATAAAAAGCAACATCCACTGAGAATGTCCGATCAGTTTTTGACTGGAAATAAACTCAAACAAGACATTACACTGGAAGTGAACTGTTCTCATCACACGGTCTGCAAAAACAGCCGAAGTATCTTCTTTTTCAAACAACAAACTTTTTACACTTTGATGCTCCTTTTTATAATGATCACAACTCCATCGCTTTATCTTCAAAATGATTCTCTAACACAAGGGAACCTAAATTCTACAAGTATGTTACATAATTTTCATGAAAGTAAATAAATCATTTGGCAACAGACGTAATCTACCTGATCAGGCAGATTTCCCTTTCCACGGTTTCCGGCTCATGTTACAAAAATAAAAATAAAATAAAAAAGTTATTCTGGGAATAACAGCATGACTTTAAATTGCAGAACAAAAAGAAAAATATTTTTTTAAGGAATGAGAACGTATTTTTACTCAGATTCAATTTAAAAAAAAAAAAAAAAAAAACTTGATTCTTCCAGAAGAGTCACAAAACTCTATGTACAAAATACGGTCATGAAATGCTTAAGAAAATATTGTCAAAAGTAGAATCATGCAAACAATATTTCTCTTTTCATCACAAAAAAGTCCTTCTCCATTTCCAGAGACACTAAATTCAATATTTTATAATATCCCCCCTGCACACAGAGCATGCTTACCCTTTTTTTTAATTTTAAGTTACGTAGGGATTATGCACTGACGCAAAAAAATAAATCATTAGTGTAAAACAAAAACAAAATGAAAACCAAACGCTTAATCCTAGATTATTTTTGTTAAATACCAAAACAATGAAAATAAAAAAAAACAATAGTTTCTCAGGGTGAATTTCCTGAAGGTACAGAAAATATAAGTTGCTCGTATTTACCAGCAGAGCCGCATGACGCCCTGCACAGAAGCAGAGGGTGCCAGAGTGAGTCAGACCGACAGTGGATGAGAGGAACAGTGAAATGGGATTAATATGAGTGGTGGTGGAGATGCATCATGAGTTATAATCCTTAACTGGGTCAGCTTGTGGCGTGAAACTGATGGATGGATTTCACCAACCCCCTACTCACTTCTACCCAGCCTCCTGTGGGTGCACAAAGACCCCCGTGAGCAAATCCAGCAAATGTGACTGTGCTCTTTTTTTTTTTCTTCTTTTTTTTTAAACTCCCACTGCTAAAGTGTCAGAGCATGAGAGGATTTACTGACACAGTCTGGCTTTTATTCCATCAGGAAGTCTCTTCTGCAGAGACAAAAAAAACACAGAGTTATCCTGACAGAATCAAAGCTGAAACCCTGTGCTGAGTGAAGGGAGAACACATTGCTGCGAGTCATGTCTGTTGTGTTTGCCCAGATGAGTGTGAAGGTTCAGTGTATGGCAGCGGCCAACAACATATTACGGCTCGTGACCACAACAAAAAAAAAAAAAGAAAGGTGGTCAACTTGTAGTTTCCCCCGATAAGTCTGCGTGTTTCTCTCCTAGTTTTTAGTGCCATTTGTTCTTGTATTGCTTGGATCATTTTAAAGATCTAGCTCGATTTTTTAACCTATTGTCACCCTACTTCGATTTTCCTTTTTTCAGTCAAGCTTTAATTTTTTAATTTTTAATTTTTAATTTAGTCGAACAAAATCTGTTATTCCTTTTTAGTGCCTATGCCATCTGTTAGATTTGTGTAGCAGGCAGGTTCTTTTTAGTTTCATTGTTTTCCTTTTGGTTGGGAACCATTCATGAGGAGTGAGGAGGATAAGTGACACAGGGAGTGGGGGGGGGGGGGGGGGCAGACACATGAGGTGATGAGTTGTCTGTAGCACCCTGTGAGGACTATGGTTTAGTAGGCTGTGATCATGCACAGGATGAAAGAAGAAACCGCTTTATTTAACCTAATGTAACTCAGATCTGATATTCTTTTTTTTTTAGTGTAGCCTTGGACGCAGCATGAATTTTTTTCTCTTTTACATCAGGTAAAAAAAAAGACACCTTTTCCTTTCAGTCCTTATGCGGTCTGTTAGATTACATGAACAGTTCAGTGCAGAAGCAGTCCTCCTGTATCAGTCAGTGATGTGGAGTGAACCGATCCTCCGCTCCTCTTTTTAAACCGTTTTCCTCGCTGTGAGGACCCTGACGATGCTGCCCACTCCTCCAGCTGCCAGAGCCTGCAGACACGGGAAGAGAAAATATGATCAGGCTATTTTTAAAGTGCTAAATCTCAGTCTCTGTATTCTCTGGCAGCTGTGTAGTCTTTCTCAGTTCCACCATGGCCCCGCATCCGTAAGACTTGTACTTAAAAGATTGTCAAGACACTCGAGTGTGATTATTTACCTTTTCGTGCCACTGCAGCAGGACCGCGCTGCTGTTTTCTGACGGCCTCTCAAAGCCTTTGTAGATGTATTTCATCAGCAGGTCCACACTGTTCTTATCCAGGGACTGCACCCCCTTCTCAATGTCGCTGCTCTTAAAGGCGCTGAGCACCTTCAGCACCAAACCTTCTGCTCGCTCCTGAGGAGAGACAGGAAGACATTTGAGAGAAAACACAGAGTTCACATTAGCGTGTTTCCAGACCTCTGAACTGCTGCACACTTCTCCCACACTGCAGATCTGAGTTTGGCACATCTGCTCTGAAAAAGATTTTAGCTGCATTTGAAATGAAACATTTACACCAGCACATTGACGTGTTAAATCTGTGCATTCAGACCGATGAATATCATGAGCGTGTACTTTAAGGAACTTTTCCTCTCTAATGGTATTAGATATTTCATCATTTAAGAGTGTGCAATTTACAAAGTGATTTTAATAACAAAAACAAATGTGGCAAATTTTAATCATTATACGTGAAGTAATTCAAACCCACCTTGACGTTCTGGTTCTTTGTGTTGATTGGTGGATTCTTTAGAACGGCATGTAAAGCCTCCATGAGGTTTCCTGTGCAGAGAGGTTAAGGATGCTACGAGAACCACGGGGACTGAGGTAGGATTTCAGCTATTCAACAATTCTGGGTCTCCTTGTCTTATATTACACTTCACAATGCTCCAAACATTTTCAAAGGGATTTAGGTCAGGACTGCAGGAAGCCCAGTTAAACCCCCAGGACTCTTTTACTACAGAGCCATGCTGTTGTTATACTCCCAGCACCTGTTTCTGCATGGTGTCGCTGAAATAAGCAAGGCATTTCTTGATAAATAACCCGTCCAATTAGCAGCATATGTTAATCCAAAACCTGTATGCATAGTTCAGCATTAATGGCGTCTTCACAAATGTGCAGGTTACCCTCATGCTCCCCCTCATGCATGTTACATCACACATCTTGTTGCCGCGGTCCCAACTTTTTGGAAATATGTTGCTGGCCTAAACTACAAAATGAACATGCAGTTTTCTTAAAACAATGACATTACTCGGTTTCAACATCTCACACTGCCATTTCAAATTTTTTTAGTTTTAACGGTGTGCAAATCGTCACATTTTGTTTTGAATGACATTCTACACAGCATCCAACTTTTAGGAAACGTCTGGCTGATGTGGGGAAAAAAGTGTGAGCTCAAATGTAGCTGATGGGAGACAAAAACCACAGCTCTGCTTCTTCTCCACAGTCACAGTTAAGCACAAACCACCTGTGTAACAGTCTATCTTTGAGAAACTAAAGCAGAAAACCATTAACATGGAGTGGATTTTTAACTTTTTACAGACAGAACCGAGAGTAGGAATTGATTTTGTGTTTAGAATTTGAATATTGTTTGTTAGATTTGAGAACTTTGGACCTGTCCTAATCTTCTGGTGGTGGTGGGAGGTTACTGTCTTCAATGAGGAAGTGGAGCACTTGAATGCCTTATAAGGACTACTGGGCTGAAACCAAACGCTCAGCTGAATACAGATTTCACATCTAAAGCCCCCTCCAGTAAGACTTCTCACCTAAATGTAAACCACAATGAGTGAAATTAGCTCTTTAAACACAAACCCCTGCTAATGCATCACTCACTACACACTAGGTTTAGAGTATTCAAATGCATTGGGGTTAAAAAAAAAAAACTAGTAGGTAAACACATGCATGAGAGCTTGAAGTTAATGTAAAACTCCAGCTTGTTTAGCCTGGGAGCAGAAATCCCTGGAATGTGACTGCCAGGCAAGTCTGAACAGTGACTGGCCTAGTTGCAAGAACGCCCATTCATACAGGCAGCAGGACGTATGTAACATAACAGTGAAATGATGCAGGTAAATCACAGACACGTACGCACACACCTGCCTGATCAGATCGTGTATGCTAACACACATGCTCGCTAATCATGTAAAAAAAAAAAGAAATAAAAAAGGATATTGTCTAATGAGGGAGTCCACCTCTGCCTCGTCGGGACCCAGCTGGTTTTCCCCTCCGTCATCCTCGTCCACAAATTTGTTCTCGTCGTACTCGTCCACGTCCACTCTCCTGAAACGGGCGGACATGGTGCTTTTCGACATGTCGGTATCGGGTTTTTAGCGTCTTATTCCGAACAGAAAAGAAACGAGATGAAGCTCAACCCGGCCTTTTTTTTTCTTCTTCTTCTTCTTCTTCTCCCCACACACTCACACACACGCACACACACACAGAGTGCTGTTCTGTGATACGGCTGGCTGTCACAAGCAGCTTCCTGACTTCCTCCCCTTTCCTCTCTGTGAGGTATTTGCTTCCGCTTACAAGACATCGCCGTCTGCTGGGCAGAATTTGATACTACACGTGGCTTTCGGCGCTTCCCTTTACTGTCCGCTAGAGGGCGCTCAAACATTAAACATGTTTTGCACCATCTGTGAACCATTATAGGCCTGTGAACATATTTCTTGAGTCGACATTTTTTTTTTTTAAACCAGAAAAGGATTCCATTACATTTACATAGCATAGCCAGTAGCACTCTTTTTTTTTTTTTTTTTTATATTTTTAACATTTCAAATATTTTTCAGAGCTCAAATAATAATAATAATAGTAATAATAATAGGCCTTATTTAAAAAATATATTTCTTAAATGTGTATATTTAACTTTTCTTGTGATCCTTTAAAAACATGGAAATCTCTACATGGCAGGACTTTGGAGGCCTCAGTAGTAGCTAAAGTGCTGACTCATACAGCTTTTTAAAATAAGGCGTAATTTCATAGCAAAATTCACATTCATAGCTCTAATGAACGGAGTGTGTGTGTGTGTGTGTGTGTGTGTGTGTGTGTGTGTGTGTGTGTGTGTGTGTGTGTGTGTGTGTATATATATATATATATAGGCTGCTTTCAGTGTGTAATACCACTGCATAATATACACATAACTAACCTTCACCCTGATTGCATGGACATTTAGTCTGACAGACCCCCATGCAGCTGCAGTAATTCAATCTGCGTTTTAATCAGATGGAATTCAAACAGATGCTCTACATAACCACAATTGTGTGTGTGTGTGTGTGTGCTGATTCACTGCGTCTGCTGAATCCTTCACTGCTGCTGTATAACTATTTATTTTGAGTGGGTCAGTTATGGGTAGACCACCACGTCAGCTCTGTGATGTCAGGGGTTTCCAGCCTGCGTCACAGGGGCAGTGCATTCTTCTCCTTACAGGAAATAAGACACACTTTCCATCATTGCCAGATCACACACTACCTTACGATCTTTTTTTTTTTACTCAGAGAGAGAGGTTAGAATAAACACAAACAGATATATCCGCCTGTCAAGCTGCAAGACAAATGGATGAAAGTTTTTTGCGCCTCATCCTTAAATATATGTGAGTTCAAGTGAAAAACTGGCTTGGACTCTTGTGATGTTTCCATGGGTTATGCAAAGCACACAAGTCACTGGTATGGATCATGACCAATAAAAACTTGCTCATAATACAGAGGCCTCTTCTGGGAAATGGAAAAAGTTGGACGCACCTATGTTTCATTGATGTTTCTTTTTCTGGGAAGTGGAATTTTTAATTTCCTTATCTGCTCTGTCTAGACTGCTGGACGCTATAGACTCAGGAGAGCAGAAAGGAAAACAGCTGCTTATGCATTTCCCATTGCAGTTCCCTCCAACACAAACGTACACACTCACACTTTATTTGAAATATCTGACAAAGGGAGGCTGTTACAAAAGAGAGAGAAAGTGTTGCTCACACTGGGCATATTCAGTAAGCGTGACATTGACTAAAACAGCCAGGAATAGCTGAATGATTGTGAAACAGAGAGGTCTTATTAAAACCTATTTTACACACACATATGCACGCATGCATGCGGACACACTCATGCACATACACACACACACACACACACACACACACACACAAACACACAAGCCAAGACACTCCTGCATGAGAGCATACTTCTTTGCTTTTCGATCTTTTTTCCTTCCTTCCATTTCTTCCCTCTCTTTCTCTCACACAAGCACACAAACTAACACACACACACAACCTTGCGTGCATTGGTCATGAGTGTCCTCATTGCGGGCTTTGTGGGGCGCCCCAACCCGTCTGTGCTATGTGAATGACTCAGTACATCAAAAGGCAAGGATGCAAGCACATACATGACCTTCACGTGAATGTGCAAATTAAGGATCCCCCTGGAAAATTTCAATATGGAGTCTGTTTACTCCTGATCACAGACAGACAGGCGGACAGAGAGACACGCATACACTGCACTCAAACTCTGAGGAAATGTGTGTGTGTGTGTAAAAGTGCAAGCAGGCGGGCCAGGTGCTTCCGTGCCAGAGAAAAGCACTAACAGCATAGCAAAGTATCATAAGCACATAATTAGCAGTTTCACATGAGGTGAATATTGCTCTTGGATGATGATTTAATTGGGGAATGTAATGAATTAACGTGTGCTGCGTTGGAGCAGGTCTGCAGGCAGGGAGAGACTGTGGGTGGTTTCCTCTTTTCTTTCTGTAGTCCTGGTGAGCTGTTTCACTTTGAGCGTGAAGTAAGTAAGTAGTAAGTAATATTAACTGAAGGTGTCATGTATTATAATGGTACGGAACATTGTTATGAGCCGCGACTTTGATTTGGTCAAACAAAAACTATAAGTGAGCATTAATCTCATGTCTGAATATTAGGCAAGCTCAAATTGATTTTGGGAACAATCCCTCAAAAAAAAAAAAAAAAAAATGCATTCAAATTCTGTTTTCTAATTAAAAAGATATCACAAGAAGATGCTTCACATAAAATATATCTCACCTTCTGAAAACTTTGGTTTTATTTGAACGGGACTTTGATTTCATGTGATAGCTTATGTAACACAGAATTGAGAATCTATTTAAAGGCCATATTGGTTTAGTTACCTTTGTTAACTTGTCTCTTTAAAATGCAGTCAATTATTTAACTTCTTTGTCACTGAACCATTTGAATGAAAGTGTTAGAACCAGGCATAAACTGGCTAAACCACTTTGACTGACAGCTGACTGTCTGCCTGTTCTTTCTATTTTCTCTTGTAAGATGGTTTGTGTGGGTCTGCTGACTGCAAAACAAGTTGCCCCTCAGGAATATTAATGATATCCTTGATCTTGATCAACATGTATGCAGCTTATTAACAGGTACCAGAGTCTGAGCTCACCATTCCTGGATACTTAGCTTAGCGAGCCACACATTGAATTAGCCTTGCGTAAGGACTTAACAGCTTTGCAAACTTAGCGTTTGTCTTCCTCTCAAGCTTCACCCTTCATCCTAATATGATAACTTCTGGCAAGAGGCTCCAGAAACAAAGTTTCAGTTTTAACCACTGGTTGAAGTCATGCTGGCGTCTTGAAATCATTGTTTACAGTTTATGCAGCTGGCTGTGTAACAGTTTCCTATAAAGCTGATTCATAAAGCTGTATCACACTGTGAATTTATTCAGACTGCCAGGAGTTTCACACCTCTGCTTTAGTTAGAGTTAGAGTCCGACACCCCGACTTAAAACCTTCAAATAATATCTACAAACGGTAAGGAAAATATCATCACAGACATATCCTGTAAGTCTATCAATAGGAAACCGATCTGCGACCCTACACTTTCCCCCCTCGGCTACTTTGTTATTTCAGGGAGGGTGAAGGAAGGGTGTTTAATATTTTAACAGAGAACATTACACACAAGATAAATTCTCTCTTTTATTATTATCTTCTTACAGTACACATAAACATTATGTATGTATGTCATGTTTTTGCCAGTTTTAATATGAACAGTTAGTTTATAATCACTGGTTTATCTCTGCATATCTCTACTGCCTAAAAATGACCACGTAACATCTGACTTGTTGACATCGTCAAAGGTCAGAAAATGAAGCACAGAAATACTGAAAATAAAATTTCTAATCATGCTAAGGCTACAATACAAAAAAGTGTAACATTACAGGTCAAGAAAATGACAGGATGTCTTCATAAAAGAAACAATGCTTTGTTTATTCATACAGTTTGGTCTTAAGAAGTATTTCAACAGCTTTAGAAATTTGCTTGTTAAGGTTTATCAAAGCGACCTTTAAGAAAAGACTATCATAAATCATCTACCACTCTCATAAATCTTCTTTAACATACCAGGTTACAGCCAACATCTGGTTAGCTTTGCTTAAAGGCTGAGCCTGGCTGTTTCTAGGTTGTAAATATAGATGTGTGAATCTCCACAAGGTTTAATGTTAAAAGGGAATCTAACATGATTGTTATTCCATAATTCGGTTGTTGTTTAAATCAAACTTTAACAGTTACTCTTTAACCTTTTCAGGTTTTTTGGATAAACTACAATTCCATGGGAGCTGTAGTTTTTTCTGAGTTTTTTCTAAGTTATCTTTTTTTTAAACCTGATTTGAAACTTTTGATTCTGACATTGACAGCTGTAGTAGATGTAAATGTATCTTACAATACCGAGTTACGTTTTATCTGTTTGGAAAGACGGATGGAAATCGTAGACGAGTGATTGCATTAGTTGTGAGAGTTTGTGAAACAGCGGCTAATTTAGCCCTGTACAAGACATCAACTGTAGTAGAGATATATCAGAGTGGTAATCATGTGAAATAAGCAAATCAAAATATTCCTCAAGATTTTCTTTTAAAAACATTTAAAAAGCATTTAACTACAAAAAATGAACAAACATGCAGGAGCTGACACGTCATGAATCTCTGCAGCAGGACTGCAGAACACATTTTCCTCCTCAGTATTATCCAGTGCTGACACTTGAGCATATAGGGGTATATATATATAAATGCTTCAGTGTAAAATTCCACTGCTCTGTATATGCAGCCTTCGGGCCCCTGCAGGTATAGGTGTAGTGTGTCAGATTCCAGGCCTCTACTGCTGCAGGTGTAGGTGTAGTGTGTAAAATTCCACTGAGTGCGCAGAGAGCCGTTTTTCAGCTGTGAGTGGGTCTCTTGATAGCACCCACCGCTCCACCCATCCTCTCCTTACTTTGACCAACGCCCCACCTCACTGTGCGGGGCCATTCGAGCAGTTCTTGGGCTTGTTGGATGAGGAAATGGACTTTGAAAAACAGATTCTTCTGGTATCTAAAGGCAGGCTGAAACAACATGGTCAGGAAAATAAACACACCTTTATCCTGATGGAGAGAGACGAGCCGTTTCTATGGTATCAAGTTTTGTTTTTCCAAAATGGAGGCTTAAATATGAGACACGCCCTACAGGGGAGCAGGGAGCGCTCCCTCCCTTCAGGTGGGTGAGCAATATTAGGATGTTTGAGGTAT